ATGTGTGGAACGGGACAAGACTCTTTTTTTTTTTTTTTTTTTTTCAAGCTGTTCAAATTTGAACACTATTATCCATTATTGTTTTTCTTGGTCCAAATTTTATTAGGTATATGTTGTATTCCACATGCAAACCCCTTTAAAATTTGTAATTTATGTCTTCTATGATTTGTTGATGAAGTTAGACTTCTTTGAGCCAGTGAATATTGAAAGTAATGAGATCATTAGCATGAATAAGATGGTTGAGATGGCTCTGTTCATGGTTGCCATGCAATGTTGAAAAATATATAAGTTTAATGATCATGCTTGTTGTAAAAGTTTTAGGGTTCAAACTTCAGAACTTAAACAAAGAAAATGAAATATCTAGAACTTAAACATGAAATATCCGAAATCAAACATTCGTCTTGACTTAAAAAACAAATAATGTCTTGCTAAAGCAATAATGAAAACACTAGAAGTTGATAAAGTTCGTCATACTAAAACCACAAATACTAAATCCCCAAATGCTCAAAGGCTCTCCTAAACACGTTAATGAAATCTGGCTTCTGTGAGTCATGATACCCATCAGATCGGTATCTTTCACTAACTTCATTGAAATTCTTAGCACCTGATCGTATGGGAAACCCATAGCCTGAAGCTCAAAAGGTAGTCTAACTTTTGTTTCTCTGAAAGTAAAACTTTACCTAATTTCTACTTTACCTAATTTCTTCATTTCAGTAACAACTTTATTCCAACCTTCACTGATAATAGATACAATATTTGCATCACCATTATTCCCACTCCTCTTCCTCTTCCTAACAGGTTGAGATGCACTATATGTAGCAATAGAAGAAGATGGGGTAGGTAAAGGTGGAGGCATCTCGGAAGTCTCAAAATCCTAACTTTCCAAACCCATATTTTCGATTGCATCCGCTGCTGATTCAGCCATACTCTCCATGGCTCGGTCTCTCCCAAACACCGTACATAACCGTGGATACAACGGGAATGACTTATTTGGTTTGCAAGATGCATTGGGATGTTTCTACAATAAGAACCCAAAGAAATCAAGGTTAAGACTTTCAAAGCAACTAATTGATAAAGAATAAGAAACAAAATTTACCTTCACTCACTCTTGTAGTATTTCGTCACTATCCATAACAACACATTTTTTTCTCATCATCCCAACCAAATCCAGATGTATTCATCATTTCATATGCAGATGAATACTTTTATTTCAGACGCTTCAATTTGTTTTGTATATGCTTCGGCTCTATATTAATGCCAGGAATCTGTTCCCTTATCTTGAAGGCAACGATTACAAAAGTACCAGCCTTAAAATTGCCAGTCTCACACCTAACACCATCAACAACCATCTCCTCGAGGATAGTAAGTAGTACATCCTCCTCATGATCAATCCAATTACGTGAGGTGACTATATAATCTATCAAAGAAGCCATATATTACATAAGTAACACAAATAAACATATTAGTAATTCATTCAACACTTAAACAATATAACTCCTATATACAAGGAGGAAAGATAAGCGTATATGAGAACACCAAATAAAAGACACCAGGCTTTATCAGCCATAACATCCAGATAACTCCCAATTACCACATTACAATAACAAATATCTTAATAGTCTTGATGTTACGAATTTTCAAGCCAATTACAACAACTCCATTAAGTCCACATCTCAATAAAGATAATTACAATAACTACCATGTCAACCAATTTTCAAGCCCTTATTCTTCTCCACTCATCATATATTTCTCTTGCAAGATCATCCCTTCATTGAGTCCATGTTTGGCTTGACTCAACGGTTTCAATGTAGGCTAATACTTCTGGTAAATCTTCCCCTATAGGTAATTCATCAAATGCAAGCCTTGCATTTTCCTTAGGATCAACCGCCATATACATTCTGATAAAATTATGAAGTAAACTACATGCGGTGATCATTCGTCCCTAAATCTTGATTGGATAGTGGGAAGGATTTCGTAAGATAAACCAACATCTTTTGAGGAGGCCAAAACATCTTTCAATGACATTCCTAGCACTTGAGTGTTTCCTATTAAATTATTCTTCATGATTCCTAGGTGCATGTGAATTGTCTTCCCACTCTTGCAAATGGTATCTAGTGCCTCTATATGGTGCTAGAAAACCCTCATCGTTCGTATATTCGGAATCAACCAAATAATATGTACCTATATTAGTTGATAATAAATTTTAGTTGTTGGCCAACAAAGGTAAGGAAAAATACTAGGTACTTGTCTATCTTACCAGTTGGGACCTTGAGGCCATTAGCTCTAGTAACAACGTCAACAAGAACTCTCGAATCAGTAGTTGATCCTTTCCAACCGGATAACACATATTCGAATTTGAGGTTGTGTGTGCATACGCCTAACACATTAGTTGCTATATGACCATTCCTTGTTCTATATTTTGGTTTATCGACATCAGGCACAGTGACCCTATGTATGTTCCATCTAGCGCTCCTAAGCAACCTAGACAAAAGAAAAACTTATATTAATTAGCAACTACAATAATTATGTTATTAATGATTTTACTGTGATGTTTACCTTAAAGCATTTCCATCTTGATTCCGTGCAATCCTCTGAGATATGGGTTGGTTTTGCAAACAACACATCTTGCAAACTAAGCAATGCACACAATACTCTTCAGACATACCGACTAATAGTTTCACCATACCTAATGAATCAAACTTGCATTGACCTATTTTTATTGTGGTGGGCCAATATGTTAACAAAAGTAGCTACTTGCTCCTCTATCGTAACATGGCCATCATCTACCAATCCACCACGAGTTTGTAGTAAATCACATAAAACTGCAAATGCATTGCTATCCATTCGCAGCTCCCATAAACAATTAGTATCACTCAATCGCGTGATACGATTTATTTCCTCTCTCCTAACATGAAGTCTAACAAATGTCCTCTGCTCTAAACTAGCTATTTCTTGTTGTCTCCTTTGTTGTTGTCTATACCTCAGCAATTGTGCATTCATAGTAAAGACTTGTGCCATTATAATCCAAACGTTCAAAAGAACATAGAATTGAGTCTCATATTCATCTATACCTTCATATGCAAAAAAAACAACACATGAATGAGTGGAGCATCAACATATGCATGATTCAATTACAAGCGTATGATTAAATGGTAAAACAAAGTGGAGCATCATATCCTAATTGCAATTCTTAAAGTGGAGCATCAACTTTGGCATGCACTGAAAATCTGAGAGTGCTACCATATGAGGATTCGACTAATGCTATATGAATGCACTTCAGTCTTGCAAAAACCAAGGTCATTAAAAATAAATGCAAACAAAGAGATGTTGCAAAGTGAAGATTTTTTTTTATTTGGTAATATAACCTATTTAATTGTAGATATTAAGGTTTGGTAGAATTCTACGATAAGAGTTTGGCTTCTTCAAATTGAGTGAGGAATTTTTTTTCCATAAATAGTACCAGAACCTATTTAATTTTCACACCTTGGACTTGGTAAAATAAATGATAAGAGTTTTACTCCTTAAGGTTGAGTGAGGTATTCGAAAGATGCATTTGTTTGTGTCCATATTCAAGATATGTTGGGAGTGGTTCTTGAACATAGAAGCAATTTAATTTGGTTTTTTAAAAAATAACATAGAACACAATCCAACAGAGGAAAATCCAAAACATGTAACCCAATCCAATCCAACAGAACCCCAAGACACCAGATTTATAGATTTCAGCACATAAAAATTGAAACTTGACACTGAAAAAATGAATCCAGATGAAGATACGTGTGAATGCAATACTGCTCAATATGGGGAGTGGAGGCAGATAAATAGAGGCGGATCTTTGGTTGCAGATGTAGTATTGGGCAGATCGAAGCACTAAATACAAAAAAATCGAAACAAGCAAATCAAAAAAGAATACAAAGAAATCGAAGCACTATAAAATACAAAGAAATTCAGCAGAATCAGGAAAGGCTCAAGGATTTGGCAAAATGGAAAGCTCAGTTTGAGCAAAGCTCAAAAGTGATTTAAGGTTCTTGGAAGGGTATGCAGGTATATAAAATGGAAGTCCCAGTAAATTGTTCTGTCATGTTTTGCAAAATCTATCTACTATTGGACAAGAAGTATGTGTTCCGTCATGTATGTTTACAGTAGTTTGGTTCTGATGAAATTTCATCTTCTTTTCTTTTCTACAGGACAATTTTGAGGAATTAATGACATGGAAGGATAAAGTCGAGCAACAGGTAGTGGAAATTACAAATGTTTTGAATAATATGCAAGGGCCAAAGCAGACAAAAACAGGTAGTGGGAATTGCAAATGTTTTGCCTATTAACTGGGTGTTAATGAAATCGAAACAAGCAAATCAGAAAAGAATAATAATGCCACTTCAAATTTACATCAAAATTAGGACCTCCTGGAAGCAATTTTTTTATTTTACAAAGAAAGAGAGACCAAGAGGCTACACAAAAACATATCGAACCTGGAACGGAGATGTAGAGCTGAAGATGCTACACAGAAGAGGATGAGGAGGAAGGTTGCGAAGGGGAGATGCAGGGGTGAAGAGGTTCATAGCGGCTGAGAAGAAGAGAATATAGTTTTAGGGTTTGTTGTATGATTTAGATGATGTAAATTTTGAAAAAGACAAGGGGTATTTTTATCTTAAAATGTTATAAATTTGTGTCTCACGGACGTGGAACAAGTCGTTCCAGGGGGTGAGGCGGAGCGAAAAATCATCCAAAACTTGTCTCGTGGAAGAGCGTGTTCCACTAGTTTTAGGTGCACCAAACGTGGGACAGAACGTCTTGTCTCATTCCGTTCTGTCCCGTCCCACGTACCAAACGCGACCTAATCTCACGGTGGACTTATCTAAAACGATCATTTTTGCCTAGTTGGACTAGTCTCTTAAATAAAACGACCGGTCGTTTCCAGCCTTAATTTCAGAATTGGCGGTTCAATTACATCTCCAATTACTCTGAACCTGTCCAGTTTCCCGCCTGTATCGATATTTTAAACTTCCCCACTTTCGGTCCGTACTCCGACAACGTCTCTTTATTTTCAAAACCCTAGCGACATCTCGAACCCCGAGTATTCTCATTCTCTCCGAATTCTCTGTCTTCCCCGAGTTTATCGCTCCGCTCCAAATCCCTCCGTCGTCCAATCGGTCCGATTCTCGCCGTCGATCTCACTCTCCTTTCTCCTCGAAATCTTGATTCCTAATTATTTATTCACTATTTTCTGTATGTTTTGTTGCAGATTTTGGTGGTGGAAAGAGCAAATCGATGGGTGAACTGAACAATTCCGCCGCTCATCGCAGGGTTAGCCCTCGGCTGCAGAACGTTCCGGCGGAGAAGCGGCCATTTTACGGGAGTCCGAAACGGACGGCAGATGAGTCCGAGAACGACGCAGTCAGGACCAAGAGGACCAAGGTTGCGAAACCCCCCAAACCGCCGGCGCAGAGTTCTAAGCCCGAAGCAGAACCGAGCAAGGGAAAAGTGATACTGGAGAGCGGCGAGGGCAAGGATTGTGTGGATTGGAGTTGGTATACCGGTGCTGATTTGCCTTTGACTGATGGGAACGGAGTGAGCTACACTGCTCGCGTGAGGGAGACACTCCGAGTTTTCAATTTGCATTACCTTCACTATGTTCAGGTATGGATTTCATCACATGTGTTCAATGTCATTTGAGTTGACAAGACGATATTGCAAATTAATTGATTCACTGGTATGGGGATTTCAACTTGGGTGCAAGGGGGCCGGCACGCAGCTCTTCCCAACTAGCCTAACCCACATCTGCATTTGCGATTTTTCGGTTAAGCAACTTGTTTGAATCAGGTTGATATTTATATGGTTTTAAGCTCAAGGAGAAATCATTAGAGCACTGTTTTGTGCCCTGTTTCGAGGGATTCTAGGCTCTTGATTTTTATTGTGATATTATACTGTGATGGGTTTTGACGATGATTATATGCTATTTAAAAGGTGGACTCGTTGAAAATCTACTCTTTATAAGGGATTTTATTTGGGTCTTATTTTTTGAAAATTGACAAATGCAAGTTCTCTGCAAGTACTTCCACAAGTTTGTTGCTTTTCCGCAGGAAGAGGAGAAAAGATGCCGTAGGCCTGAGGTTAGTATGTTTTCCCATATTATTGTAGAGAGAAGGAATAACTTAAGCATGTAAGCGGTAATGATAGCGAGGGTCAAGAGAAAATAAGTTGTATGAACCTTATAGCATGTCTTGGATGCTTGAACGTTCCTTTCGATTTTTATTATCATTTTCTATGAAGTAAAAAAAAGGATAGTTGGAGATCGCGTTTGTGATTTTTATTTATTTTAGTTTGACAAACATTTGCAAAATGGGAGTCCTGTGAAGAGGCCTTCCAAAAAACCTCCCAAGGGGCCTTCGACGAGTCCTTCCAAGGAATCTGATAAGAAGGTAGCTTATGAGTTAATTTAGGTCCTATATGTAGATTCGGAACATGATTATTATCTATGAAGTATAGGAGTTAGACACCACTGATCACACTATCATATGTAAAAATCTGTTGCAGAAGGATGATGAACCTAAGAAGCAGTCCAAGAGACCTGATCTGAAGGCACTTTCTGAGGTGAGTTCTGTGCTACATGTAGGTCTGATACACGTAGTATTTCTATGAAGTTTAAGACCAGAAGTTATGAATGTATTCTAGAGTTAATTTCCAATTCCTTTTTTGCGGTTTCAGAGAATGGTGAAGCTGTTTATCAGACTTATATTTATGTCCTGTTGTAACTCATTATTGTAGAGAGTACTAAGAATTCCTTTTCATATTTAGTTTATCAATTGTGAGGAAACCTTGTTTCTTCTGGCATTCAAGCGAACACTTACATCTGTTTTTTTATTTGTGTATACCCTCATAAGCATCAGAATTATCATAATGTCTAGTTGTCTGCCTTTTGATATAGTTGAACTAGTATATTTTTAGTGGTAACCATGTGTTATATCCTTTCAGAAACATATAGTAACCTGGCATTTTAAGGTTTTAACCCCTCTATTTTTATGCTAACTGTGATGATTTTTTGTGCTTTTTTTTTTTGGTTTTGTCATTTTGATTATGACAGATGCTGAAGAAGAATCAAATTTTATTCCCTGAAAAGAAAATTGGTCATCTTCCGGGTTCGTTGTTATTGCTTTGCTGGTTGAATCACATGTTAACCTTTTTAGTGCTATCTTGTTTTATTTGGGTACACTGAGAGAATGTTGGCTCGTTTCTTATGCTTGATCATTAGGAGGACCATTTTTCAAAAGATACTTTGCTTAATGTAAATATAAATGACTCAGGTATTGCTGTTGGGCATCAATTTTACTCTCGGGCTGAAATGGTGGCCATAGGGTTCCATTCACACTGGTTAAGTGGAATTGATTGTGTGGGAGAATCTAAAGGCAAGGTAACAAATCTACTTTCATTGGAAGGTTGAAGCAATTAGACGCAGTAAGGTTGAAGTATTTTGAACCAAAGGTTGTGATCTTATTAGCCTCTTGGATATTGCAGGAGAAATTCCGAGGCTATGAACTTCCGTTTGCCTTAACAGTTGTGGTTTCTGGCCAATATGAAGATGATGTTGATAACTCAGACGAGGTTGTTTATACTGGTCAAGGTGGAAATGATTTGCTTGGTAATAAACAGCAAATTGCAGATCAAGTTATGAAACGGGGTAATTTGGCTCTTAAGGTGCGTCGTCTTGAAACTGATATTTGTGCTGCATCTGCTGATGTCGTCTCCTTTAAATGTTCATGCAATACGCAACAGTTTGTGTTGAAGTTCATAAAAATTGTCCAACGGCATATGATGCCAATGATCCAAGGATTCATTTATCTCACATACCCACTCATTGGATGTGTGACATTCTCCTACGTGGTGTTTACTTATTGTTTGTGTTTTATCTTCTTGCAGAATAATATGGAGCAGGGCATTCCTGTTAGAGTCGTCCGTGGACATGACTGCGTCAATAGTTATACTAGTAAGGTTTATACGTATGATGGACTATACAAGGTTGGCCATTTTCATGTGTATTTTGTTTTGCTTATGGTTAATATTTTACAAATGCATAAAGTAACACATGGTTAAAAATGGAAAAAGGAATACATTTAGCTGAAATGAATATATTTCGCTTATTTTCTTTTTCCGGCAGGTTAACAATTATTGGACGGATAAGGGTGTTGCTGGATTCACCGTGTTCAAGTATCGTTTAAAGCGACTTCCAGGGCAAGATAATTTGTGCAGTAAACAGGTTATCATTTCTTCTTCATTTCATGAAATCCAATAACTAAATACAATTTAATGACGAGGGAACAAACTGTGGGAAAATTTTGCAGAGCTTTTTGAAATGCTTAAGTGCCTAGTTTTTCAGGTAAATTTTGTTCGTGCGCGAGGGTCTAAAGTTCAAGCTGAATTACCCGGGTATGAAATCAGTAAGCTGTTCCCTCAATGTTCTGTTTTTCTCCCAATTTTGTTCTAACGACTGTAAACCCAAGGAACCGTTTTACATTTAGGTTGGTATGCAAGGACATTAGTAATGGTCAAGAAAATATTTGCATTCCAGCTACCAATGTCATCGATAAACCTCCTGTAGCGCCTGAAGGTCAGCTACGCTTCTTAACTTTTAGAAGATCATTCGTACTGTTCAGTAGGCATTATCCGTGCCACTATTAAAGACATGGTAAAATTTTAAATCTTGCAGGCCTTACATATACAAACTCTATTATAGTTGAAAAAGATGTGAACATTCCAACGAATGCTCCTGGGTGCAGCTGCAAAGGAAACTGTACTAATCCACTGACTTGCTCTTGTGCTCGACTGAATGGCGACGATTTTCCTTACGTTAGTAAGGATGGTGGAAGGTAAGGTTTGAATATGGCATACGTGTTGTTGTAAGACTATCTTGTTTGAGATCCACCGGTCCTTTTATTTTTGGTATAAAGGTTGTGTTGGTGAAACTCTCCGTTTCTCTCTATGTGTTAGATTAATTGAGGCAAAGGCTGTTGTGTTTGAGTGTGGTCCAAATTGCGGCTGTGGACCGGGTTGTGTTAACCGTACATCTCAGCGGGGAATAAAGCATCGACTTGAGGTCTAAACGCTACAACTGCCAGTGCTTCTTTTATGATACACGGTACTTTACAAAATTCATAAATCTACTATTCTATTGGACAGGTATTTCGTACAGATTACAAAGGCTGGGGTGTTAGGTCGTGGGACTTTATTCCTTCTGGTGCACCGGTATGTGAATACACCGGAGTTCTTAGGAAGACTGATGAAGTTGACGGTCTCTTGGGGAACGAATATATATTTGAAATTGATTGCTGGCATACAATGCATGGGATTGGGTCAAGAGAGGTAGAATTCCAGCTGTTTGATATGGACAAATTGAACTCCGAATGTTCTTTTGTCACTTGTGCATTGCGTATTTACATTTTCGGATTAGATGCGGTGAATTTGTTTTTGATGCGTTGGTCTGTACATTTGCAGAAGCGAATGTGCGATGTCACTATTCCAAATGGTGACGCGGAGTCAGGATTCAGCAAGCTATCAGAAAGTGAGCCTGAGTTTTGCATAGATGCTGGTTCTCATGGCAACGTTGCTAGATACATCAATCATAGTTGCGAGCCTAACCTCTTCGTACAGTGCGTTTTGAGCTCTCATCGTGATGTTAGACTCGCTAGAATCGTGTTGTTCGCTGCGGATAACATACCTCCCTTGCAGGTAAAAATAATCTTCTTCCCAAAATCATGTGTCCAACATTGCTTGGCATGAATAATTGAATAACGAGTAGATTCAATGTTTGCGTGTGCAGGAACTTACATATGACTATGGTTATGAGCTTGACAGCGTTGTCGGTCTTGATGGAAAAATTAAGCGGCTAGCTTGTCACTGCGGTGCAGTTGGCTGTCGGAAGCGTTTGTACTAGGAGGAGGAAGCAAAAGTAAAGGGTTAAATGATTGTTTTCCCCCACCTTCAGGAAGCAAAAGTAAAGGGTTAAATGATTGTTTTCCCCCACCTCAGGAAGCAAAAGCAACGGGTTAAATGATGGTTTTGCAATGTATGCATTTTTGTTGTACAATGAAATCATTTGAATGTCCAATTTTTTGTTATATAAGGTCATCTCCAATCAAAAAGGCTAAATATAGCTTCACCTAGAATTATAGTTACATTTGGTCGGCCTGTTGCCTCTTTGGCCGAATATAGTTTTGTGAGTTTAATAGAATTATAACTTAATCATTAGTTGGAGATGAGTTTTTGAACAAATCAGGTTAATTTTTTAGCTTTGACCTTTAACCTGTCCACTGGAGATGCCCTAAGGGTTATATTACATCACTGCAGAGTGCTGAACAGAAAAGTTTATTGAAAGGATTAATTTAATGATTAATATTTTGTCAATGAAAGGATTATTGTTTGATAAGCACTTTTATTTTATTTTTTTGTATGGTATGAACAACGTCAAGAACCTGACCTATTAAATGCTTCTCTAATTTTATTTATTTACTTTTTAATATATAATATGAATAGGTAATTTTTGTTTGTTAGTCACTTTATTTTTGGGTCAAAGTTTGTTTGCCACTTAGGGTAACTGTTGGTTAGACTGGGAGGTCAAGTGCGTGATTAAAGTAAGTAAAAACGTGATCATGCCGTAAGAGAAAAGAATAACCAATCTTACGCTAATTGGTTTGACTAAATTATATCCTAAATTATTTTAATATATGGAAAAATAATTTTAAATTTAGGTGCACATGAGGTTGACACACGTTTAATCCGACAACCTCTTGGTGAAAATGAGGTTAACGTCCCTAGAAAAAATAAAACAAAATCTTACAAATGAATGAAACTACATGGAATGATTTTACTGTCACGTGTTGTCTCGATTCAATAATATATTATTGTGTATAAGGTTTTCTATCCACATGATAATGCGTTAAGAGGAAATCAATACCCGAATCAAATATTCATTTATCTCATGGTAATCTTTAGTCTTGCGTGTATTAACAATTAAACAACTCAAATTAATTGTCACGTTAGAAAAAGTTAATTTATCCAAAACCTTTTGAGTCATAAAGAATAACGCATCTAAAACTAAAACCGCTTGATAAACATATATCAAACGGCCCCTTAATTAATTGTGAAATAAGTTATACTTTTTTTAGACATGAACTATTTTACCCAACCCTTCAAATTCAATCTCAAGAAAGAAGGAATGTTAGTCCATTTTTATGATATTATCAATTTAATTAATTCTCTCGTGCTCATATTTCTTCCATGGGTCCCTCCAAAAACATGCTAAACAGCTCTGCAAATAAATATTTTCACAATTAAATAGTGAACTGCGTGTAGGAAATCGACAAGTGTACTTAATACGTCTAATTACCCACCTAATGTGTACCAATTAAACTGTTGAAAGTGATCAGATGAGTCCGTCATGGAATCCTATTGAGGTTTGACATGTTACCAAATGCTGATAATATATACTTTCCAGGTTTTCAAAACCATTTGCCACTTTTTTCTATCACCAATTGGCTATTTGTAAATTGCATAAAGACTTTTGAGCAATTATATACTAAGGGGGTGTATTCAATTAGAATTTTGAGAGATTTTAATTCTTTTAATGAATCTAGGGAGATTCAATCATGATTTTAAGTGATTCTCTGAAATTCAAGATGTATTCAATTAGAATTTTAAGATAGTTTATTAAAATCCTTAGAAATCTGGTGTATTCAATTATGATTTTAAAGAAGTTTATAACATTTCAGGTGTATTCAATTAGAAATTAATTTTAAAGAATTTGAGAAAGTTGAGGAATTAGAGGGAATTGGAGAGATTTTGTAGTGTATTTTAAACATTCACAAATATCATCTTTCCCTATAAGATTTTGAGAGATTTGAATCAAAATTTTATATAGAACCTCTACAAATTAATTAAACTTCATAAAAATCCATGGATTTATAAATCTATTAAAGTCTGTCAAATTCTCAATTGAATACATCCCCCTAAATAAAATAACACTCCCAAATTGTATAGTTTAGAGTAATTTCATATTATTTAGTGATTAGTTTCTGTTGAGAATGAATTTACATTGATGAGATGAGAGATCTTGTATGAGCTTATAAGTAAGTTATGTTATCCTCTATATTACCAATTGGTTTTATAGTAGAGTCTTAACTTTATCCATGGTTATTGGCTCACATTTGAAGACCAATGACCACCCTTGCTCTACGGTACACCGTTTGTGTTGTCCACGTGTTAGGCTTGAAAATTCGTCATACGTGAGAGAGCGTGTTGAGAATGAAACTCACACTGATGAGAGGATGGACATTTCATGAATTTATAAATAAGTTGAATTTCTCCTCGTATTATCAGTTGTTCTTATGGTAAAATCCCAACTTTCATGTCAGCTTTTTGGACATTGGGTGATGTAATTAATTGACACAATTCTCACACTACGTACTCATTTGGCATGCATGCATGGTGTTAAAGTAACCAAAGCCATGCCCTTCCTTCTCTTTTTTTTTTTTTTTGTTTGTTTGTTTGTTTTTTTTTTTTTTGTAAGTGGGATCCAAAAGGATCGATAACGAGGAACTTTTATTAAAACACACACTTACAAATCAAACAAATGCCTACTTTATTCCTAGAAACAAACAAAAAACAGGCTTAAAAACAAAGAAAACACAGAAAATGAGCCCAACAACATTGAAGTCCAAACAAAAACGAACAACCAAGAACCATCCATTGTGTTCTCCATCACCGATCCGAGAATTAGCCAGCCACTCGATCCTCCGTCCATCGCTGATCATCCCCTCCATAGGCACCACCTGCACATAGTCAGCAACTCCTTCGAACCAACCGCCAGAAAACAAAAATAGAAGAAAGAAGAAATGAAAACATAGGCAAGCTTTGCTTGGCGTGTCGAAATTAAGTTGGCCTAGTAGTGTAGTTAGTTTATTTTCCAATTTTGTATTACCCTAAAATAATCAATTACGATATTTTTTTGTTGTGCTGTGGTTGAAATACAAAATTCGTTCCTACTCACGTTATAGCACGTGCAAATGTGTTACAATCACTTTAGGATTTTCCACACGGCACATTCTGTGGTTAATTTCTGGAGTTGTTGAATTACATGATAGTGTATAGGAAGAAGCTAAAATGCCTATATGAGTTTTTATGACTCCTGAAAAAATAGACTGCTTGTGATGAAGTCACCAGTAACTGATTCTTTTTTTTAAGGGAAAAAGAATATGATTGAGGGCAAAGAAGAGAATATTATGGAATAATATGGAAATTTACCGTGAGAGCGACCTAATTATGAAGTAAATGAGGTAACTAGCAATGAGTCCGTGCAAGTGCAGCCATAGGCGTGAAAAAAGAATAGTACCATAAATTGGCAGGCCTTGGCAAATAGGGATCACCCTTTGTCCCCGGTACATCACAAGCAGAATATGACCCTCCTCACCCTCTCTCTCTACTCACAAACCCTATAAGATAATTAAAAAAATATAAATATAGTATGTTTTTCTATAATATGATTATTTACTAATCCTAGATTATTATTAGCTAAAATAACTTGATTAAGGAGAGAGAGGAGTGATTTGGGAGTGTGATGCATGTTTTAGTAGTAGGATGGGGCAGTCGTTAGTGGCCTACCCTCAATAATTTTGTTTGTCCAAACTTCGTATAACAAAAATAAAAGTGGTTTTAGCCGACTAAGATTGATTGAGTTGGTAAATATCGTTCTCTTTACTAGACGACGGCCCAGATTTGAGTCTTATTGTCAACAATCTCTCTTGATAGGTGATCTTTAAAAATTAAAAAAAAAAAAAAAAAAAAAAGAGTTACGACCCTCTTTGTAAGTCCTCAAAGGAACTTATGGTATGCCTTAATCCTGAAATATGATAGCGTATCCTTCCGTCCCCCAAAACTTTCGTCGACCAAAAAAAAGTGGCTTTAATATTGGAGGGGCCGTCCATTATCATAAGCATTAGCGATTAACTAAAGATTAGGGAAAATGATTAAATGGGATAAGAGTCTAATAGAGGTTGAGAACGAAAGGAGAGGTGGGGAAAATTTTAGTTAAGTGGTAGGGTAGGATGCCCTTATCACCTTTCTTAGCATCTATATCCCAAACCTTGGAATTGTCAATAAACAATTTCTTTATAATTGTAACCCAAAATACCTATTTATTATATAGGAGAGATTTTTGTGCTAAGATGATAAATCGCAGAATGTTAATGTGTCAATAAAATTTTACACATATTTAACCAAAAAAAAAAAAATTACACATATATGGTGCTGATTTTCACATATTTTTAGCTTCTATTTTTTTTTTTTGAACAAACGGTATTATCTATACTAAGGGGTGTGTTTAGCCTCGCAATGAACTAGTAATAATGTGGTTCAAATTCATCTTTAGCGAGAATCGAACATAAGACCTCTCACTTACAAATAAAGAAGAATACCACTAGACCATAATACTAAATGGTTACGACAAGATTAAGCAAAATGTGCGTTTATCATTTAATTAGATATATTTCACCTCTCACAAGTGGCTTGCAGTCAGTTGATTAAGAACTTTCACCCTTGCATGTGAGGTCCGTATTTGAATCCTCACTGCATAATTTGATATAGATATCTATCCTTTGTCAAAAACAAAAATATATTTCACCTCTCCAAATCAAAATCCCATGATTTTTGTTTTAAAATAAAATCAGAGAATTGTTATTGGCACTTCAAAATTCTCATTCTACACTCCAAACTTTCTATATTTAGAAAGAAAAATATTTGTGAGGAGTGTAGAATGAGAATTTTGGAGTGCCAATAACACTTTCCTAAAACCATTGACCAAAAGTTTAAGAAACATATCCAAAAATATTAAATAGTTTAGTAGGACAAATTAAATAAAAGAAAAGGCAATAAAACAAAATTAAAAAGAAGAAACAATAGGATAAAGGTGCCCCAAAAAAGAAGGCGTTTTATGGACCATATTTTACACAGAAGAAAATGACATAATGCAAATAAGAGATTAGAGTGGTTGTAATGCCTCGAGTGAGTGCCCTTAGAGATTCCAAGACAGATAATTAAAGCTAATTGGATAAAAAAAAGATAATTAAAGTTAATTAACCCTTGATATGGTAACAAGTTAAAAGATGAAAATAAATCCCCTATTGATTAATCGAGATTTCACAAATTAATCTGTATATTTAACAGTAAAAACACAGAGATAATAAGATAAACCCCACCACTCTCCCATAACAATCCCAACCCAAAAGCCCTCTAAACCTCTCTCTCTCTCTCCTCCCTTGCCTCTCTCTCCCTCTCCCTCTCTCTCTCTCTCTCCTCTCCTCCCTAATTGTTTTAGGTATAGAGAGATAAGAGCAAGGTGACCCCCTCTAATCTCTAAACGCCGTTTAGGGGGGACCTTTTGCCTCCGAAAAAACGCCGTTTACCTTCAACGTAAATCACCATTGTGGCACGTGCGTTTCAAATATTTTTCTCTTATTTTTCTTCCGTTTTTGTTATTTATGGTCATGGCCTCGGTGCAGCAGGTAACCCTGATCCCCGTTGACGGCGACAGTAACGGCGTTGACGCCCGCAACCCCACGTCAGCCGACACCGGTGGTGATGACTCCAGCAAGGCGCCGAGGCTGCCACGCTGGACGCGGCAGGAGATTCTCGTGCTGATAAACGGTAAGCGGTACGCGGAGGGCCGGGGCGGGGTGCGGGCACCGAGGTCGGACTTCGGGTCGGGTCAGTTGGAGCCTAAATGGGCGGCGGTGTCGAACTATTGCAAGAAGCACGGGGTGAACCGGGAGCCGGTCCAGTGCCGGAAGCGGTGGAGCAATTTGGCGGGGGACTTCAAAAAGATAAGGGAGTGGGAGGCGCAGAGGAAGGACGAAACGGAGTCGTATTGGGTGATGAGGAACGACCTGAGGAGAGAGAGGAAGCTGCCGGGGTTTTTCGATAAGGAAGTTTACGATATAATGGAGGCGGTTCCAGGTACTCCGGTTACGCTGGCTTTGCCGGGTCCGAACCGGGTGGAGTCCGAGGAGGTGAAGGAGGAGGGGACGGCGGAGGAGGCTGAGAAATTGTTCGATAGTATACAGAGGCCGACTGAGGAGGGGTTGTTTTCTGATGACGAGTCTGGTCGGAGCCCCGAAAAGGAAGTCCGGTTCAAGGAGGGTCCGGGAATTTCAGCTCCCTTGCCAATATCAGGTATATTCGAATCAAATACATTTGACTCCTTTTGGATAAAAAAATTTGATTTTTGGGGTGGAAGCTTCAAAATTTGGTACCAAATTTGGCTGCATTTGAGTTGGGTTTTGATGAATGTCTTATCGTTTTTGGTGTTTGTAATTGGTTTGAATATTTTTTTTTTTTTTTCTTACAGCGAAGTGATTTCGAACTCCCTCTTTCTTCCATGCACTCGACTCGTGTTTTGTAGCCTTTAGATTGAAGAAATCAAAGGCGAATCAAGGAACACTTCTTGTTTTCTAGACAGTGAATCGAGAAAAATGAAAATGGGGACGAGTGCAAAAGGAGAAAACGGGAGTGCGAAAGTTACTACCTTTGCATTGTGGGTTGAAAAAAAGAATGATTTTGGGAGTGAGTGATGGGTGATGGAAAATTTAGTGGTTGAAGCAGGTCCATTGTGTCTGATATGCTTAAAAGTTAGATATAATTTGTGGTGGGGGTGGAGGTGGGGGTGGAGGTGGGGGTGGGGTGAAAAATAATCAAAGATTATGAATGCTTTCGGGTCTTGAGAATTATTTGGGGTTTTAGGTAGACAGCATTACTGAAATTTCAAATGTTGTTTTGTTGGATGTAATTGTTAACAGAGAAGGCGTACAAACCAACACCACAAGGACATCAAGAACCTCAAGCACATCAAGGACAAGGTAATTCTGTCTGCCTCAACCCTTCCCACGAAAAATAAACTAATACTTGAGCCACAAACAAAACATCGTATTGGGCATTAGCTGTTATGAAACTTGCCAGGTTGAAAATTGATGAACCTTCTCATCAGACTGAAGCAACTTCGAAAATTTTGTTAGTTTTGTCGATGGAGTATGATTTTCTTTTCTTTTCATGCCTTGTCCAGCTTCCCCGTAAATACAGTTATGAATGAATGCACAAACATCCTCTTTGGATTAATTCCGAGATATAATGTACATGTTTTGCCGTTTTGCCGTTTTGCTTTGTGTTCATCTGCTTCATAGGTTTTCTTTTACTTTTGTTCTTTGTATGTTCTCGCTTAAGCTTACCACCAAGAACCTGTTAGCTTATGATGCCGGGGTACAGTTTATTGCTTCTTTTGAATTTAGTTGAGGCGATTAGTGGAACATGGACTTGGTTTAAGTAACATTGGTATCTGCCGAAGTTAGGGTTAATGCATCTTTAAGAGGAAACAGATCAAAGTTTAAGCAAGACCAATTTCTCTGTTGCAATTCACATGTTCAACATATTTCAGCCAAATGTTAGGGCAATTTGTAGATTACCAACTCTATGTGGTCACTGAACGCTGAATACTATTGTCTACAGGTGCAGTTGGCCCAAAACAGCCGGCTTCGATCCCAGAGGTTGGATCTACCTCTCAAGACCGAAAGCGGAAGCGTTTTGCAATGGAAGGAGACGAGGAAGGATCCACTCTGGAGAACCAGTTGATTGATGTCATGGAAAGGAACGGCAAAATGCTGGCTGACTACCTCCATGCTCAGAACTCCCATTCTCAACTCGACCGGGAGCAGAGGAAAGAGCATTCCGACAACTTGGTTGCCGTTCTTAACAAGCTTGCAGATGCATTCATGCGAATCGCTGAGAAATTGTAGCACAGAAGTCAGTGTATATAGAGAGAGTCCTCTTCAAGAACCCCATAGATGTTAGCGGAGGCTGAGAAATTGGTGGATTAAAATTTGATCATTTTATATCTTGGGATGGCAGCGTCCAGTAGAGTATTTACACCTGTCATTCCTCATTTTATTTTTCAATTTTTTTAATTCTCCTATTTTTCTTTTCGGTTTGTCACCTTTGTGGCATATATTCCCCATTTATATTTTATAGGCTCCATACACACAAGGGTTTACAAAATTTCACAGGAGTTAGCACAATGTTTAATGTTTTTCTTTCATATAAATGCCCCTTGTGGTTAAATTCCGCCCGTTACCAATCTCAATACATGCGCATCACTTGCATTTGTAAATGGCATCCAAACATTTTTAATTGGGTTGATGTGAGGTTCGATTTGAACTGAAATTAGTAACGAAGTTACCACGAGGGCGTCTTGTGGCGTCATTACGAGTTTTTACCACGAGTAATATTGACATTTAGAATCGCACCATATGCACACCAATGCAGTGATAGCACTCTTGTCGGATAACCCATCACTCCCCAAAGCCATGGGACTACATGATTGCGTGGTTTCAAGCACGAGAGAACAAAAATTCCAGAACATAGACAATCGGACTCAATCAGATACTGGTTTTTTCCGATACTTCCGACCGGATTTCTGTACACAAGCACATGCAACTGCTGCACTTGGTTGCGACCCTTCTTCCTCGACTGCATTGACATCACTTTGGACTTCAACAGCTGCAAAACCGACTGGGATGCCTCGTGAAATTCTTTGTTTTTAGTTTCCTAGTCTGTTGTGGTTTGGGCCGGATGTGTGAGATTGGGGTATATGTACACCTGGTTCATCAAATGGGCTGAATATTTAAAATGGGTTACTTCTCAATTCTCACTCACTCCTCTCGATTTTAGTCGGATCAAATGAACTGAATAAATTGACAAAAATTCACGAGTGTTTGGGATGTAAAAAGATTTGCGTGAGTAACACTACCCTTTGAAATTAATACACACAATCAGTGGGTCCCACTTATGGGTAGCTGGATTTAGATCAATATGGGTAACTGAAGTTAGATCAAGCAGGTTCACTGCAACGTATCGTAACGTCTGACTCATTATTAGATTAGAACTCTACGATGGCGGCGAATCCATTTGTAAATTACTCTCTGCGAGGAGGCTTGATTTCTGGACGGATTAGATCGAAATCAAGATTCTAATTTCAATTCAAAAAAATTGCGGAATAAAATTCAAACTATTTCTGTACACCATTATTGGTTTAGCGGGACAATATTTTTACACAAATCATGTACGTTAATGTCAAATTTAGATGTCAACTATCTAACTATTTTATGCACAATTATTGGTTTATGGTTAACATTTTGGTGCATTATGTTGACAAAATTTGGAAAACCTAATGAAATGGGGAAGGAGAATACGACCTCCAACACCTTTACCAAGCCCTAGCTAGGGTTTTGGTTTTGGAGTTTTGCAAATAGGCTCTTGTGCCAAAACTGAATAACGACAATGAGACTCATTGGTTTGGTCTCTGAAATTGTCCCAAAACAAAAAATATATAAGGTGAGCCCTCGTTGTTTTCTTGATGAGATATGAAATAGACTTCGGATGGGCCTAGCTCTTGCTCCACCTATTGTCTACGAACGACAAGCGTTGGGATTCTTTAGGACCCCATACCCTTAGTGAATAGGGTCAAATATTAATGGGTCACAAACAAATTCATTTGCCCATTTCTTCCTCGTTCGTTTCGAAAATTTGTTTGATACTTAAATAGCATTGGATGATACGAGTGAAATTGAAAATTGAAAATCTTAATAGCTGTACAAATAAAATCTAACAGTTAAAATACTTGTAGAGCATTGAAGCCACATCATTTCTTCTAGACGAAAAAAAGGACTTTGAATGACCAGTCATTTATTTATTTATACTAAATGACGGACTTCTGATATGGTGTCGTTAGGGGTGCAACTCAATCTGGTTAGGCGAGTTAGATGGTCAACCCGACCCTAAGCAACATTAATAATTCGTGTTTTGGTTGTGTTGGGGTTCATGTGGTTTATTTGGGTCCGAGTTTAGATTATATTTGAGTCTCCTCTAGTTAAATTTGGTAGTATATCCTCTTTAACAACTTTACTTTATTTGGTGTTTAATAATAACAACTCGTTTAATGTAGGTAAAACCAAAAATAAATATTTAATCATCTCAAAAAAGATAGGAAGCAGCGAATCGAAATATTAGAGCCTGATTAAGCGGGGATTAATAGTTTAAGGATTGAAAGCAACTTGTTGATCATATTCTTTTCATATACAAGAGCCAAAAAAGCAACACCATGTTTCACTTTAGTTCCTCCTCCGTAGGCCATGTCCTTATCTGTCGGTGCTTTACCTTTTTCTTTTCCTTATTTTTCTTCCTCCTCCCTTCTTTTTTCTCTCATTCCTCAGCAATCTTGGTTGTCGCATAATGCACCACCTGTTTAAATTTCAATCCTGGATCCTCCTCCCAGGAGTTCCAACCAAAACAAGATTTTTTAATCCATCGTTGCAGTATGTATACATATCTTCTTTTGTTGTCCGACCAAATTTTGCATGCAACTAAAGTCGATGCCAATTTTGCATGCAACTAAAGACGGAAGAGTATTGTGGTAGAAAAACAAAAATGGGAGAGTAAGAGACTTGTAGTTCAACTGGTTAATAGTTTATTTTTATATCTAAAGTCTTTCGTTCAAATCTTTTATGCTCAATGTTGTTTGTACGAGAAACAACTAGTGGAAATTGGAAAATTGCATTGAGTGATACAAAACTAAAGGGAGCGCGGATTTGTGACACCACTTTTTTTACACAATTTTTGACACAAGTTTTTGTAGACAGTTCAGATCGGTCATATAGTTTCAGATTTAGGTGATTTTTCGATAGACATAATCTTTGAGGAATATTTTAGGTAGACTGTTCAGATCGTTAAAATACATTAGAAGTGAGTCCCACAAAAACTTGTGTACAAAAAAAGGTGGTGCCACATATCTGTTCCTAAACTATAATTGGATAAACTTATTTCATTAATTAAACTACCACATTTCTACACTAGAATTGGAAAAATAGTCTAATATCATGCTATACGTGAGAAACTTTTATGAATAGTCTTGTATATACAAATTGGGAAAACCGAAATACGTACGACCATTGAGCTTTTCAAAAATGATACCATACTTACATACCATAACTAAGAATGTTGAGATTCCATAACTTATAAACACTCGTACAAACTCTCTTAATTTTCCAACGTGGGATTCACTTTGAACAATTTGTTTGTATAATTTGATTGATGATTAGTCCCCTACATGCCTAGAAGGCCACGACACTTGTACCTCATAGGCAGCTTTCTGCTTAGGTATGCAACTATGCATGGTACAAATTAAAGATTCTCTACTCCATCACATGGTTTGGCTAAACTTGTGTCTGGCCCGTACAAAGTGGTAAACTTATTTTACAAGTATTTACTGAGTTAATTGGTAATTTATTTTACAATATTAATATTATTACAGGAATCTTTGTAATGCTAAATGATAAATGCAGAGCTCCATTTGGAGTGGACGATAATTTTTATTCAGAAAGTGAATGTGTACATATAAAATTAAATATATATATATTTTTTTTATAAATAATGCAAAAAAAGAAATGCAAATGGTCAAAAAGTGAAGAAAAAAGGCCACATAAATAGTCACATTCTTTACTTTACTTTCTTCCTTTATAAGAAAAAAATGCCATCCACTACTGTGAAAAAATGAAAAGCAAAATACTTCACCATCTCCAGCAAGTGCTTCTCCACATTGAGACAATTTGAATCCTGTACGGAAAAACCATGCTCAATGATAAAGGAAGAACTGGTCTGAAAAAAATTGAACCATATTCGGATATTCCTTCAGGAATCTATACCACACTTGTAGTTCCAATGGTAGAGTCCCATTTTAATTAATGATGAACATAGGTTTCAGTCTCGACAACGTCACTATTCAATAAACGCTTGTCGCTTTTTTTTTTTTTTTTTTTGAAACTTTAACGAAAAGCTTCCGGTACTATTTATTTTAACGAAAAATCACATTTTTACACTAAAAAATAAATCTTGGTACTATTTACTTTACCCCTTATTTTGTCCTTATAGTTAAAATTTAAAGTTTTCAAATCATTTTCATTAGTTTTCCCCTTTTTATTAGTACTTGACAATATTACTTGTTGGTTGTCACTTGTCATCACGGCAACTCAAGTTTGAATCCTACATGCAATGGTTGAAGAGAAAGACCATACATATATATAATTCAGTTTACAAAATTTAATTTAAAATTTTGATATCCCAACATTATCTAATAAATTAATAACAAGAGAAAATCTCTTGGCAAACAGACCATACTCGCGGAAGATTTTCCAATCCATGTACGTGGAAGTGGTCCATGGGCCACCTGATCAATTTCCCAATCCCCCAAATTTCTAAATCTGAAAAAAATGAGTGATATCTTTGCATTTTAATTAATATATGGGAAGCGTTATTGATATTTAAAAAATTTCATTCTATACTCCTTACAAGTGTATTTTTTCTAAATATAAAAAGTTTGAAATGTAGAATGAATAATTTGAAATACCAATAACAATTTCCTAATATATTGGTAATTGCATAACGCACTAAATTTTTTGGGTGTCTGCTACAGTTTGAAAGTCCACTGTTGTCGCCAATACATGTTTGTTCAGGTGGTAAGGTTTTTATTTTGTGTCGCCTTATCAAGATTCGAGTCTCGATACCAATAAATTTATAATGAAGGACGATCTGTAAAAATCAACAAAGAGAACATGAACTCCTCGGTAAACCCTCAAAGAGATTTGTGTGGCGCACCTTCACCCTGAACGAGGTAATCTCTCCTCCTCCTAAACTTTTTCTTACCCGATCAAAAAAAATTGCAGTGTTCTCTGTCGGGCATGGATGCGGAGGGAAATTTACGGCGGGCCCCACCTTAATGAAGTGGCCATAGTGTGCATGACAGAAGCATCCCTTTCACTCCCATTCTTCTCAACAGCCGAATTCGTAACAGCCGTCGGATCCTAACAACAAGCCATGGGTAAAAATCTATCAGGACTCAACCCACGCGCCAATAAGGCGCGTTGGTACGACCAGTTGTCCGCGTCTCCCGTACCCTGTAAAGTTAACCACTGTCGGAGAAACTTTGAAGACTAATCCTATGCACTGGTGAACCCAAAAAGCCCAAAACGACATCTTACGCTTAGCAGCGGTGCCGCTTAAATTCTCTTGTAAAATTGCCAAAATCGTTTGATTGATTTCAGAAAGTTCAACAATTGAGCTTGTAAAGTAATCGTTTCAGCCTATTTTTATGAATTTTACATTTAAAAAATTAATGTACAACCAGACTACAATTTATACGAAGAAGAATGACTTGTTCTCTAATATTATTGAAGAGTTATGCGTTAGACTGTTATTTAAAAGAAGTTAGGCGTTACACTAATTACAAGAAACCGCTTCTTCTACATAGATGCAATATGAAAATTTTGAAACGGCCGATCTCAAGCCAACAAGCTCCCCGTTTTACGAGCGTTAGGCTGGAATGTCTATCGTACGTAGTCTTACTCTTCTTTTGCAAAAAAGTCATTTGTACGACTCGAACGCGTAACATTTTGATTACAAAAAAACAATTTTTCTGTTTCGTCAAAACACGTCCTCAAAATATCACACATCCTAAACTACTCTATGCTTAAATTTTAGTGTTCTGTTGACATGTGAGTTAGTAACAGTATGATCTCACTCTACCAACTCCATCCTTTCCAACAAGCGACAAGTAAGTCAAATCTCGCAATTAGCAAAAGAGGGAAGAGAGAGAGAGAGAGTAGAGAGTAGGGAGAGAAGTACCCAAGTATTGTCAGGTGTCTGTCGCACTGTCTCTGGCGACGTTTTCAGGTTAATTGAAAAATGGCCTAATCGCAACCGGATCGAACACACACACACACACACAAACAGTCGCTCTCAATTCCCAAGGCTCCGATCTTATGTAATTATAGGTGTATCTATATGCGGCTTAAGCTTAACAAAGACTCAAACTTTCGTGTCAAATGTCTTCTGGCCTCTTTCTTTCTTCTTAGGGTTCCTTCTCTCTCTTCTTTTGGGGTGGGCCGTACTGCTGCTTCTTCTAGGGTTTTGAAGCTGAACATTTAAAATAGTGAAAAGGGTAAAATAAAAAAGGGTTTTTGGTTTGGTGGGTGCTCTGTAGCTCTGAGGTGGGAGTGAAATTCATGCAAGCTGGAGGTGATTTGAGAGATATAGATTGATTTGGACTTGGGGTTTTCCTAAATTGTGGGGTTTGATTGGACTGAATCTAAAATGTGCAAAGATCTTGGTGACCGAGATTGAGTGCTTGGACTCGGCGGAGAAGATGGAGAATCGCATGAGTTGCTCTACTGATTGATATTTTTGTCGGAAGAGAAATCAAAGCTCTCAAAAATGCATTTCACTAAGCTCGATGACTCTCCTATGTTCCGCAAGCAGGTTCTCTCTCTCTCTCTCTCTCTCTCTCTCTTCTGGGTTGTTTGGTTGCATGGTTTTTGTTCTTTCTTCCAATGCCATGTTTGGTTGCTGAGAAATCCGGGAGAGAAACGAAAGTTCGCATTTTGAATCTCGTTTGTGATTTCTGAGCAGAGAAATGGAGCATGTGCTGCTAATAGTTGTACATGTGATAGATTTAGTTGCATTGGTTACAATCATCATATGCCGCATCCCTTAAATTGCTGAATTGTGTAATTTGGAATGAATTGATGGGAGTTGTGGAAGTTAAAGTTGAAGAATTTATAGTTTGCTACTGTTGTTTCCGAGTTGTAAGACGGTCCGAACTTTGTTATGGATAGATTAATTATCTTCCGATTGCTAATTGCTTGCATTTCTGTTTCCATAGTATTGTATGTCTGTTAAACTTTCAATGATTTCGGATCCCATTGAAAAACAGAAGGTGATTTAGCACTTGTATTCTAGACAGAGGGCCGAATATATCAACCTTTGGAAAGATGTATGTTTCGATAGGATTGGATATGGTGTTATATAACCCCGACTTGTTAAATCTGCTTATGCCCTGCTTGGCTTTAGATTACTCAAGCTCTGAAATCATCAATTGCAGCCTATATTAAACGGCTCCGCCCTCCCCCTTTTAATCATATTTACTCTGTGATGCATGCGATGGCCTACATCACCCTTCCTGTCATTGCATTCTGGTTATACCCATTATACATGAGCAGTGAACTTTTGCTAACAGATATTGCTGATGCTATTCGTACTTGTGTCTGTGTTGTGACATGATTACTAGTCATAAGCTTGGATGGGGTATGTAGTAATTGATGAAACTTTTGTTGGTGCAGATACTATCCATGGAGGAAAATGCGGAAACTTTGAGGGAGAGAAGTTTGAGGTTTTACAAAGGATGCCGAAAATACACGTATGCCTAATCTTTTGATGCGTTTTTATATTATTTCATCTACAAAAAACTCGGGGCAGAACTTTTGAGTTCGTCAATTGTTGTGTATTCAATTACATTTCTGATGATGTCAAATGCAAATTTAGCACCCCAAAAACTTGACCACCCAGTATCTTATGCTTTTGCACTTTTAATAGCTCTCAAATATGGAGAGCATCCAAACTTTGATACTAATATAACATGTGATCAAGTGGTTCTGGATCTTCCTTTGTCATCCTTTTTTCTGAATGAAATTAACCCTCACTAGACTTGAATGTTGAGTTTGTCAGGGAATTGCTTAAAGGCCTTTTCTTTTTCTTTTTGCTGGCAGTGAAGGGCTTGGGGAAGCATATGATGGGGACATTGCTTTTGCTAGCGCCTTAGAAACTTTTGGCGGGGGGCATAATGATCCAATCAGTGTGGCTTTTGGAGGTATGCCAAATTATCAGCATAAAGAGTACCAAATCAAACATTGATGATTAAAATATCAATAATTGAACTCCTTTCTTCTTCACTAGGTCCTGTTATGACTAAATTTACTATCGCATTGAGAGAAATTGGGACGTACAAGGAAGTTCTTCGATCCCAGGTAATAACTTTGTTTTATTTATAATTAACATGTCAAATCTATTGCTGCAAGCTAATTGGCTTCACTATGATCTTGCAATCAAAATAATTTTGCCTGTAGTTCATGGAATATCATTTCAATATACTATTTGAGAAACAGATATTAGTTGAAACTTAAAATGGTTTGTTCTTAATTTTGGCTTGCGATGAATTCCTTTTTGAAGCTTGATATTATTTCCATCTTTCAATTTTTGCTTTGGAAAGTAGTTTTACTTGAGATAAAGGAACTCAACTTTGTACATGTCATGGCTAACCGTTATACATTGCGGCTTATGCAGTCACTACAAGCTTTAGGGGGATTAGCTTCTATAGTCCTTACATATATCAAATGCATTCCATGCTCTTCATTTCCAAGCTCTCTGTGTTTTTCTGCCCGTTGGATGAATAGTTTATTCTTTATCATGGATAAGGTGAAGATGTTATCTTGTATAACCTGTTTTTCTCTTCTCCGTACAGGTTGAGCATATGCTAAATGACAGACTGTTACAGTTTGTGAATATTGATTTGCATGAGGTCAAGGTATGGTGAAAGAATTGTGGGTTAGACCATTTGAGTTTATCTCTTAGTTTTTTCAATATTGAGTATTGTCCTTGTGCAGGAAGCGCGGAAACATTTTGACAAGGCTAGCCTTGTTTATGACCAGGTGTGCTTCATATTCTTAATTAATTTAATACATCTTCCAGCTATATTGAGGTTAATGTAACAATTTGATTTTTGTTTTGGTATTGGACACTTGGTTTGATACTTTAATACTATTTGCAGGCTCGTGAGAAATTTCTCTCACTGAGAAAAGGCACAAAGAGTGACGTGGTTACCCTTCTTGAGGAGGTAATTTGTGGTGCTAATTTCTCTTTTTTATTTTATTTTATAGACCTGTGTTCTTGTCTATATTATTGGAAACTATCCATTCTTACATTCTAATACGACTTAAGAGATATTGCAGGAGCTTCATAATGCAAGGACTACATTTGAGCAAGCTCGTTTTAGTCTGGTAACTTTCTTGTCCCATTCTTCCAGAAATCAATGAGTTCATGCCATTGAGACCTTGGATTTGTGATTTGGACCTTTCTATTCGCAGGTGACTGCTCTTTCTAATGTTGAAGCGAAAAAGAGGTTTCAATTTCTGGAAGCGGTCAGTGGAACAATGGATGCACATCTTCGTTACTTCAAACAGGTAGACTGAAAGTCAGGTTTTCTCTACGTTTCACTTGCTTTATCACTACCATGCTGACCTTAAACTGTTGCCATTTGTAGGGTTACGAGTTGTTGCATCAAATGGAGCCATATATTAATCAGGTTTGTTCTGAACTTTTTTCGTATGTTTGTAATAAGAATCATTTTAAATTGGACCTCTTATTATTTCCTAGGTCTTGACATATGCTCAACAATCAAGAGAAAGATCCAATTATGAACAGGCTGCTCTTCATGAAAGGATGCAAGATTACAAACGACAGGTTGATCGAGAGAGTAGGTGGTCTTCTAATGGTTCTAATGGATCTCCCAATGGGGACGGGATACAAGCCATTGGTAGAAGTTCGCATAAAATGATAGATGCTGTTATGCAGTCTGCTGCAAAGGGAAAGGTTTGATGAAGTTTCATATTATTGCCTTTAATTTATTAACGTGACCTATGTTCAACTTCTTTATGCATTTTGATGTTGCAGTTGTTTTTATTTCATCACTACATATAATACTATAGACAAAATTTAACAGTAAGCAATAATCAGGTTCAAACCATTAGGCAAGGTTACCTCTCAAAACGTTCCTCTAACTTAAGAGGTGACTGGAAAAGAAGGTTTTTTGTTCTTGATAGCCGAGGAATGCTCTATTACTATCGGAAACAATGCAGCAAACCATCTGTAAGTAATTTTTACAAGAAGTTAGGATGCAGAATGCTTGAAGTTTGTCCTGTGTTTTTTTTTTATATTAATATCACGTTTTGTTATTTTGTTTGTCTATAACTTTTAGGGATCCGGTAGTCAACTTTCTGGTCAAAGGAATAGTTCTGAGCTTGGTTCTGGACTGCTGAGTCGGTGGCTTTCTTCTCATTATCATGGTGGAGTGCATGATGAGAAATCTGTTGCTCATCACACAGTGAATCTGCTTACATCAACTATCAAAGTTGATGCTGACCAGTCAGATCTGAGGTTTTGTTTCAGAATCATTTCACCGACAAAGAACTATACTTTGCAGGTTCGATTCAGCGTAGCTGGTCCTTGTGAGCTTAGGCTTGCTATGTATTTATATTGTTTTTGAACCTGCCAGTTTGGCGAGTTTTTTATAGTTATTTTTATCTAGTAGTTCCTGCAATGATATTGATTTATGCTTGTCAGTGCAGGCAGAGAGTGCACTTGATCAAATGGATTGGATTGAAAAGATAACAGGGGTTATTGCTTCATTACTTAGCTCTCAAGCTCCTGAGAGGGTAATTGTGTTTTGAAAGTTTTACATGATTATGTGGCCATTGATTTTCGTAGTCTCATTGATGAGTTTGGTCCAATTGTATTTCAGTTTCTGCCTGCTAGTCCCATGGGAAGCCATCGTCATTCTGCCAGTGAGAGTAGTTCATTTGAGAGTTCTGATTTTGATCACACTGGAGTTGAAGAACTTGTGTCCGAGAGGAGCCTTACTTCTGCAAATTCTGAGCGCCCATTGAGAAGCTCACAACATCAAAGATCATCTTTAAAAACCGAAAAGACAATTGACATGCTACGACGAGTATGTGGGAATGATAAGTGTGCTGATTGTGGTGCCCCAGAGCCAGATTGGGCATCATTAAATCTTGGTGTTCTCGTTTGTATTGAGTGCTCCGGTGTTCATCGTAATCTTGGTGTACATATCTCAAAGGTTAATCACAATATTTTTCGTACTTAGCCTTTTCACATTATACATCTGCAAGTCATGCACTCTCTGAACAAGTGTTGTGTAACGCCCATCAAATAACTATTATATTTTTCATGTTCTTGCTTGCTCTACTTTTCTGCAGACAATTTCAAGTATTTATCAAGTAGGAGTCTAAAGAACCTTACTCATATGATTCCTAATTGCCTAATAGTAATGTGGTTTACTTTTCAATAATAGCAATAATGAAGTTTTGAGATTTTCATTAACGTGGAATGTGTAAACTGGCCAATGGTATGTTAAATCTTTTTCCAAGGTTTTATTTTTCTTTACAATGAATTGTGAGTGCGGTTACAGAAGAATTAAGGATTATACAAATGATAACTTGGTAAAGTAGTAAATATGCAGGAAATTACCAAATTTTGTTTTGGATTGTATATTTGTATATTGACAGTAACATTTTCGTAATAGTTCTTTTTGTTTATATGTACTGATCCTATAAAAAATTTAGTGTCTGTACCAGTTACTGAATTTCTGCAACTTTTCTTCTCGGTGTCTTTTATTGCAGGTAAGGTCTCTTACACTGGATGTTAAAGTGTGGGAGCCTTCCGTTATAAATTTGTTTCAGTCTTTGGGTAATGCCTTTTCCAACTCTGTCTGGGAGGAACTTTTGCAATCAAGAACTGCCTTTCAGGTTGATCTGATATCCACAGGGTAGGGGATTCTCTGTCACAACTCTTTCGAGTATTGTATATATTTCTTCTCTACTGGACTGTTGCGATATTTCAATTGTATTCTTCTGGTGAAGGTCATACAAGTCCGATAAAAAACAGCTAGTTTTTATCAGCAAACCCAGTCAGAGTGATTCTATACCAGTAAAGGAGAAATTCATTCATGCAAAGGTATGCCTTTTCATACCTCACAGTTACTAGTTGGATGACTAGAAAGCATTTCAATATTTACATTCGAATTATCAAATTTTTTATTCTTACACTTGCTGTTTTGAAAATAGGTTTTGGTTGAATTTTTCATTTCACTGAAATTGAAAAAGTAAACAATTGAATTGGATTCAGTTGGATGGTACCAACGAAACTTGCTGTTTTGAAAATAGGTTTTGGTTGAATTTTTCATTTCACTGAAATTGAAAAAGTAAACAATTGAATTGGATTCAGTTGGATGGTACCAACGAAATCGAGCGCTAAGGCCTATTTCTTATTGAATTAACCGACCAACTTAACTTGTTTTGCTATCGAACATTTATAAGATTGTAGTATTAAATTCGAAGTTGATAAGGAAGCAATAGTTTTAGAACATCAGCCCAATCTAAAGAACACATATTTTCTAATACTAAAGACAAAAAAACAATTTTGTTTAGACTGTAGTTTGAGACTGTGAACCTTTATCGGCTTGTTGGAATACTTGTCGTCCTCTCTTTTACTGCTTTTAGTGATCATGTCTTATGGTCTTGCAATAACGACTGTACATAGTGTATAACGGCATAACAGTATTGTTCCTGTATGACATGGATGAACCTTGCTTGAGTTCATCTTAGTTTTTACAAGACTAATGATTTGGGGACTACCAATTGTCAACTTATGATACATGACCATTCTTGAAGATCTCCTAGTATATAACGAACTGATCTCCTTACTACCTGCTACTAGCGGAAAATCTAGACTGCTTCAGAAATGTGGACGTTAATGTGTATTCTTTTGTTAATCACAGTATGCAGAAAAGCTTTTTGTCCGGAAACCAAAAGATGCACAATATACTCATTTGGTAGCACAACAGATTTGGGAGGGTGTTCGTGCTAATGACAAAAAAGCTGTATATCGTCACATTGTTAATTCTGAACCAGATTTGAATGCGGTGTATGAGCAAGCATCATGTAACTCTTCATTAACCCTTGCCAAAGTAATGCTGATGCATGAGCAGACTAGCCATGACCAAGGCTCGAGCTGCTTAGCTGGGGATTCATTAGACAAGTCGTCACATAGCTCTTCAAACTTGAGTGGTACAAGTGAAGGCCAGCAAGTTGAGGATCTAGATGGGTGCACTCTTCTCCACCTTGCTTGTGAAACTGCAGACATTGGCATGCTTGAACTCCTCTTACAGTATGGAGTGAATATAAATGTGATTGATTCAAGAGGTCACACACCACTCGACCGTTGTATTCTGAGAGGCAAAAACACATTCGCAAAATTGCTTCTTACAAGGTGAATATCTCATAGTTGGATCTGCAGTTTTTTAAAACCCATGCATTACATTTTCCTAATCTGTGCATCCATATTGAACTATCTAGCTGTCAGCTTCTTTCACAAGGCTGTGTTTCCGCCTGTGTTTTTATGATTCGCTACTGAAGGGGGTTCTATTGCATCTGCAGGGGAGCTGATCCACGAGCATTAAATGGGGAAGGGAAAACCCCCCTTGAACTGGCAGTGGAGTCAAACTTTGATGATAGCGAGGTCCTTGCTATGTTATCGGACTCCAATGGATGAAACCCTCATATTAGCAACCAAACTAAACTATCCGAGTGCAACTTCATAGGTGCTGGATGATGTTTATCCAAAGAGACAAAGGTTTCACATTTGTGTAATATAGTCCGTAAATTTGAGAGTTTGTTATCCTCTGAATGAAATATCAGGAAGTGTTTTGTGGGTTTTGAGAGTGGTAGGGTGGTGCCTACCGATGGGGGTGCATTGTTGAACAATGTCTGCCAGGGTTGTAATGGCCGAAAGCATGCGGTAGCTTTCAGCCAAGGGGCTCTGTAATGTGTTCTCTTTTGTTCATTCAGTTTTCTGCTTCCTTTCGGGGTGAAGCTGTTGTGAGGATTTAGGGTAGGCCATTGTGTATTTGTACATGATTTCTTGTAGTGGAAGCTTTTGGTGGCTGTAACTCTAAGAAGCTCAAAATTTCGACCCTATTATGTTATTCTAGGTTTAGGGTTTCTGAAGCCGCAATAGAAATGGTTGATCCTATATTCCTTCTTATTCGTCTTTCAATTGTGTTAAAGAGTTGATTATAAATAGCAGGTACGAGTTAAGCTAGTTAATTTGGACAATGTGATCATAACTTTGCACCAAGTGAAACCGAAACTTGCATAAAAGCTGTATCACTCGTGTCATTGGTCGGACCCATACATTTCGCATATTCTTTCAAAAGAGACGAGGCAAATGAATTATACAGATTTGGAATGAAGAAATTTGATCCATGTGAGAGTGAAAAAACAAAGTGAAATGAAATGTCAAATGTGGTTGGAGCGGCACTGACATTTTGTGAAGGTGAAGGGTGATGATGTTACGCTAGCTGTTGGAGTTGGCTTATCAGAGTCAGTCAAATGTAGCAAGTAGGCCAAACCCATAACGTCCCATACCAACTTACCAAGAGTGAGTCTCCCTCCAAGTCAAAGTAAACCATATATGTTATGTTTAGTCGAATCCACTATATTTTTTCAACATTATTGCTACTTGAAAGGCATGTGTGTGGAATTATTCTTTTTATTTTTAAGGGGATCAACTGATGGTTTCATCACGACAGTCCACTCTTCTAGGATCAGTAAGACGTATGATTCACAAGCACCAAGATCGTATGATTCACAAGCACCAAGAATCAAACCCAGAACATACCGTATAGAATAGGAACTTGAAATTCGTCTTGAAATTCGTTCCCAACTACTGGGTCACCTCATGACGATTCATGTGTGTGGCATTTGTTAATTTGATTTTTAATATTAATAATACTACTACTGCTACTGCTGCTGCTACTACTACCACCATTGTTATGTTGGTGCAAGTTTTATAGCGATGAGTTCAAATTTTCCTCTACTTTCCGAGCAACCAAACAGAGCAGTATTCAAAATTTCGGCCTCGACGAATAAAACCACATGGAGTAGAAATTCCACAGCAAACACAAGAACTTTTATACCTAGGGTCGTCGTCGAAAAGTAGCCGAAAAAGGGCTCGAAACCAGCGATGCTGTGAGACTTCCCGATTTCGATCTGCTCAACTGGGTGGCCGGTGACCTGCCCTTTGAAGGCCGGCCGACGAGGAGAGGTGCGACACTGTTCGCCCAAGGAGAGAGGAGAGGGAGGGGACGGGTGCAGGTCTGACGCGGTATTGTGCCAATTGATGTGCTTATGTAAGCAGTTAAATCCTAAATATTAGCAAAAAGGTCATGCTATAATTGGCATAATAATATGGTTTGGATTTTATGTGAATTTCAATAAATACGTAGACGTCAAGGTTGTCTTTTGATTGCATACAAGTAACTACTAGGAGTAATTTGCTTCTTAGGTTATAGAAAGTGTCAAATTTTTATTTATTTAAAATACCGACATTTTTATTTTAAATTACACTAAGGAGAGGTGAAGAGTATGAACCCGAGATTTAGTGGATTGAAAAGTAAGATTCTAACCATCAGTACAATTCACCACTTATTTTAAAAGACATGGTCTGGTTTCTTTACAATTCATGCTCTAATGGTTTATCTTTGTAAACCAACAAATGCTTCTAAGAGAGAGAAATTATACACAATATTATCATGCGACGAAAATAAACACGTACCTCATGAACACTTGGACAAATAAACAGCTATTTTGTGACCTTTGGTAATGTCAAACAGTGCTGGCACCAGCCATCTCTTAACAACGAGACCCACGTTTGTCAGGTTATCATTTAACGGATGAAGTAACATACTAATTGGCGCACACAGTAAAATGTAGTATTCTTGTGGGTTTGGGCATGAGTTTGTGCAGATGGTTCTAAGCATAAACATTCATTACACTGTTAACAGGCCTAATTACAATACTTGTTCACAAAAATCTTTAGGAGAACGAAAATTAGATACGAGAGCAATCAATATTTAAATACCAAAACCAATGTTACAAACTTACATACAAAAATGGTTGCAACACTATTTTTGTGCCCCAGATTTTGGGGAGCTCAGGTATCTGATATCCCATTCTTGCCAGTTGAACTTGAGCTGCAACTATGTTGGCTCCTCGATATAATGTATTCGTTTTTATCTCCACACGCTCCATAGTCCACACTCTCAATAACAAGTACTGAATATCCTTAAATTTTGTTAGGACAATATCTTCTCGTTGAAAGTCACTCATCAATGGCTAGAGAAAATATAAGGGAGAGAAAAGTAAAACTCCTCACTTGTCAGTCGGACCATGTAAAATCATCATCATCAATTTCATCGGACTTCAAGGGATTGCTCACTTCAGCAGCAACAGCTTCTTGATCTTGAACTTCAGCAACATCAGCTTCCTGATCTTGAACTTCTTCCGACTTGGGTTTCTCCATTCCCTCCTGCAAGCAATAAGAAGCAGATTACTTTTTATAGGAAGGAAAAGAAAAGAAAGGAAAAGGAAGGCAAATAATAGAAAGAGATGGAAAAACATGAATGATTATAAGTTATTTATAATAGACCACAAGCTGCACCAATCATCAGTTAAAAATCTAAAAGAAGATTGCAAATACATGATCCTTTCACAGAGGAGGTCGAAGGGCAAGAGAGCCATGTAAACACATCCAACAGGTTGGTTCTATGAACAGATTAAAGGGCATAAATTAATAAAGTTGCGTAATCGAAGATCAGTCAATTTGAAATTTCATCTAGATCCTTTATTTCATGAATAAATCCTAAATCATCGGCAATTCCCATATGCAAATTCTTCCAATTGACATACTACCTACCACTGGAGAAATACAATTTCAGGAAACGATTTGTCTGTAGATATGAATAGCCTTCTTCATGAAGGTCTAAATAAATATAAATACAGACAAACACTAACATTAGCATCTCAGCAGAAGAGAAACAAAGAAAAGACAGGAAATGCATACATCAGTATCCCGAGTCTGCTCTCTTAGTCCTTCCTCCTTGCCTGTCATGTTAACTGACTCATCTGCATTAGATTCCTTGTTTGCCCGAGCAGCTTGTTGCAGCTTCTCAATATATGAAGTAAATTGGGAATGATCTGCATGAGAAAATTACTTTATTGTACCACTGTATATACAATTTTCCTGCATCCTTCATCACATAGACTCCAATCTCCATTCATATACGACTCAACAAAATAATGAATAGAGAGAATTTCATATGTACAGGTAGGCAAAAGACGATCTTGGGTATGGTTCTTAATTCCACCCCACCACCCTAGAAAGGGAGAGATTAAAAGAGTAAATATATATAAAAAAAGAAAAATTAAGGACTGACCTGTGGAATGAGTCAAGCGACTTAGTACGGCTTCTGAGATGCGTAATGGATGTTGACGCTCTTCCTTCTTGAATTTTAGCTTGACTTGATGACGCGTTCGACTAGGAAAATAAAGTTCTTGAATCATAGTAAAATCTGATCCACACTGCTGAATAGCCTAAATCACATGTGAAGGGAAGATTTAGTTTGACCTATTATACAATTAGCTTAATCAGGCATGAAATCTAGTTTTAAGAAAAATTTGGAAGCAAAGAAAACATTTCCAAACAAGAGCACATCCTAGGGTAGTTAAAAATTATTGGCAGAGATCTACAGATTGATTCCATGTGTTGGTTCCATTATGACTACTCTCTTTGAATTCCCATGATGTCCATAATTTGACCAAGGAGATCATGAATTGACCTAATCATCTAACTTCTAAGTCCACGGATACCACTAACCTATAATCCCAGTTCTAAACTGATTGACCAATCCACAAAATGAGACAGATATGAGATTTTTCCATTAATAATTATATGGTATGTCAAAGTTACTTGTGATTGATAACCAGTTAAATGTAGTGAATTTATAGGTACATTACCTCATAGAACAGTTCTGTGTCCTGCTTAGACCATCTTGCAGTGGGTGCTTTGTCCATGTAAGTTTGATAATTGAGGAGAGAGGAATTAACATGATAAGTGGCTTGGTTTTCATCAGTGCCATGTTCTGAAGGATAGAACTCCTCTTCATTGTGAGAACCTTCCTTGTGAGAATCACTGTTCGTACTGCAAGGAAAGAATACTAAGAAATGTGGATTAATGGACTACATATGACTCCAACAATCATACAAACGATACTCTATTCAGAATCAAGCATGTCAACCTTTGTGTCGTGTGTGTGTGTGTGTGCATGTGTGTGTCTGTCTCTGTGTGTGCGTGTGTGATCTAAAATATAAGCCACAACAACAATGGCAACAGTTCTTCACAAATAACAGGTTTTACTCAAAGTCAAAGTTGTACGTATCATCAAATATTTTTCACACTAAAAATTGCCCTATGCTTACCAGGCTCCCACCCTCCTGTCCTAGAAAGAAAACATAATTATATTCAAGAAATCTGCCATGACACATTGTTCTAGCCTCAAGTGGGCCCAAATAAAGTTAACAACTGGTGAAAGCATACTCAATCAGAAGGCCCAATTCACAATCATTCTATTCCATCATATTAATAAATTTATACTTTCAAACAGTACATCTTGGATGGCCATTTTATACAAGAGACAAATGAAACATCTTTCAACTACCTCATCCTATTCACTTAACACCATCTATGGACAAATGACATCAAGTGTTTAGAGCTCGTCACACAAAATACTGTAGATTTTAAGAGTGCATCAAATGTGATCAACATAAAGATCTTGTCATAAAACTTGCACTACTTTGTGTATAAAGATAAGAAATTCAAATCAACCATCATCAAGATCTCCAGGAACGTCATGATATTGAATTTGAAATTACATAACTTAAACAAGTATGATCAACATAAAGATATTGGCACTTATGGCTTCTGTATAAGAATTCCAGTACCTTTCATTGGGCTGTCGAGTTGTCAATTTTCTTGCCTCCTTAATCTGCCCATAGGAACAAACAAAGAAGCCAATGTTAATGTTGGAAGTGAAACCATATAATACTTCGTCATGTGAAAATTTGACCACGAAAACTAGATGATACCTTTAACAGCTCCTTATGCTCTGCTAGACGAATGAGATCCTTGAGAGAGAATTTACAGGGGTCAAATTCCTCCTCTGGGATTTCAAGCAAAGACTTGTCCACTACAAAAGGTAAGGAAATTAAAATGATGATAGAGACATCCAAATTTTGTGTCACACAATCTTAGATATCCAGATATTCATTTACCTTGTCTTCTGTTTCTACGAGTTGAATGGGAGAACTTTTTGGGAGCGTCTTTGGTTGACTGATCAGATGCTTCCTTGGTCTTCTTATGCTTTCGAACTGGTTCTTTTTCAGATACAGGTTTCTTGGACTTTTTGGGGGCTCTTTTCCTCTGCGATGTCTTATGCTCCCTATATTCATCAATATTATCCTCATCTTCGTTGATCTTAGAATCACTAGAAGGTTCAGCAGTGAAACTGTCATCACTGGCCTCATCTGCCAGCTCATCAACTTGTTTATGAGGTACCCGCTTCCTCAGCTGCCTGGATGATGTCTCACCTTCAGCCTTCTCAGTTGCAGAAGATTTGCGCTTCTGAGGAAGATCTGATGTAGTAGAAGTGTTTCTATTTCTACTCTTACGACCCTGCCCAATCCAGAAAACAAAGAGAAGCAGGTATCTTAACACAATTAATCTTTATATCCAGTCCCATACGAAATGCATGGACAAATATTATAGTTAAAAAATTTTACCACTTTTTCAGTTGTTCCACCAACATCTTCTGAATGCACAGCATCCCCCAAAATGGCACCATCCGAGTGGTTAGTTTCAGCCAGGTTTTCTGTATTCACTTGGCAATCAGACGTTGGATTCAGGCTGCTAGAATCATCAAGCCTTGGAGACGCGTGATCAATAACATGTCTAGTAGGGAAGGCAGGAAGCGAGCTCTCATTCATGTCACCAGTTTCAAAATGTACCAAATGTGCAGCTTGTGAACCCATGTTAGGCTCAACTTCAGAGCAAGGGATGTGCATATTCTCCTTTCCTTTTTTCACTTTGAGCTTGGGTTGATGTTTGCCAGCATGTCGTTCTACATCAATCCAGATTCAATTGAATACCCAACATATAATACGGTAGCAAAATACAAAATTCAAGTGATTGTGCACAAACCGGATGAAATGGCGACAGTCAGACCCAACATCTAGAACTTCACAGTCAGAGAAAGCCCCATCTACCTGACACTATACTGCCCAATTAATCAAAATCAATAACTCAACAAGAATCAATTTTCTGTGATAGTACAGGTCTTTACCTCAGATTCTAACTGCATTTCACCCTCTTTGTTAGAAACGGAAACTTCTCTGCAGGACATTGGATCTTGGGTTGTACAATAATCAGAACAAGTTTCAGCTTCTGCAACATCACACACCACAAATGATGAGGACTTGGCAGAACAATGTGTGGTATCATCAAAGTTTTACTATTGAGAAAATTGCCATTTCTAAATCATGATTAACAGAAGATGAAGGGAAGAACTTGCCACCTGGTTTGGTACCCGTATCAGCCTTATCACCAGACTTATTGACAGCAATCTCTGCTGAAAGAACAAGTGCTTACCGCAGTCAACAGACAGTACTAATGCAATTTTCAACTGTTTAGAAAAATTTTGCATTTTGCAAAAGTCACCTGTACCCCTTGTTGTTTGACTGATAGAATCATCAAGACATTCCAATCCGGAGAATATGTCTGCATTCTGGAAAACATCATAACTTATTAACTTATCAACAAGAAATGAAAAACAATGAAACCAGGAAATAGATAAATACTCTTACCTCCCCCAATGCCTTTCCATCAGAACCTGCAACATCTGCAGTTGATTTGCAACGTCCGATGTCCTTCTTGTCATCAGACAATGGAATCTCATTGTTTTCTGATGGCTCTATGCTCCCAACTTGATCTGTTAGTTTACTGTCTCCAACATCAACAGATGGGACACTATCTGAGACAGTGGTAGATAATGTTACAGGTATTTCTGTTATGACAATCGGAAGAGCAGGGGCGGCTGCTGTAGATGCTACCCTGCTAGGCCGTGGCTTTGCTTTGGGTCGAAATCGGCCACCAGCACGAGCTGCAAATAAAGAACTTGAAAATCAGTTGGCCATCTCTTGAAGTAATTACAAATGGAAAATATGACAAGTTTTTCGAGTCCTAGATGCACGGCTTACCAGGGACACCAGCAGGCGCAAGAAAAACATCGTCCCAGTCCGACATTTCGATTATAGCAGAAGCCTTGTCTTTAAATAAGGAAAGGGAAGAAAACTAACAAAAAAACCAAATTCAGTTCAATGGATACAAATAAAAAAAATAATATTCACGTTTCCCTCCTCCCTCCCCGAACGCTGGTCCTATTCATCGCCCTTCATCCTCACCTCACACTCCCTCCTCCGTTCCCCTTCTTCCTAGTCCTCCTTAAACACACCCAACTCTCTCCGCTGCCCAACCCACCGATGAACTGATACCCAAAAGCCACCGATGAACTGATACATCTCAGCAGGCTCCTCTCTCTTCGCTGCCAACCGAAACACCACCTCGTACTTCCTAATCGATACCATCTCTTTCGGCTTCAACCCCTCCGACCAAACCCCCCACTTCATCCCCTTCTTACATTTTTCTTCCAATTACTTAAATTTAAACAAACAAAACCTACTCCACCACAAAAAAAAAGGGGAAAATTCACAATTCTAATATAGTAGCACAGCAATCAAATACGTCAAATTCCAATTCAAATGCAACATCGCGCCCTCTAACAATCAAATTTCAAATTTAAACATGAAAATGAAATTGCGTACCGTTTTCTTGAAGCAGATCAGCAATCCTACTCGCAACCGTGCCCAGGGCAGTTCAGCACGCACTATTCCGACTCGGCTTGTCGAACAGCCGGAGATGATCAGATGCGCCGCAGAACACGGGCAGCGATGGCAGAGGCAAGCAAGGCGCGACCTCCGAGTGCACTGCGTTGGAGAGGCTGATGCCGCCGTGACCGGAGCCGGAGGTCGAGCTCAAGTGGCAGGAGTCGTAATTACGCTGGAAGAAGGGGGTCGGAGGGGATGAGGCCGAAGGAGACGGTGTCGATTGGGGAGTGCCAGGTGGCGTTTGGGTTGCAGCGAAGAGAGAGGAGCCTGTTGAGATTGTTTGGCGGCGGCGCAGAAATTTTTCAGTGTCACCGGTACAGCAGAGCAGACGACACACCACATATTATTATTATTATGTGTGCTAAAAAAATTAATAACTTAAAAAATAAAATTTTACAATATTTTTATTAAAATATGTGGTATACTACTTATGTTTCCGTCATAATTAAAAATTTCTCGCGGTAGCATAAGGGAGGAATAGTTTTTTTTCAATAATTATTGTCGATTGTTAAATAATTTTTTTAATTAATTAATTAATTTTTTATTCCAGTTGCCAAAGAGTAGGTCTCGCTTCTGTCATGTCATTATTTAACAGTTAAATTGATAAAAAATTAATAGATGTATGATATTGCAATGAATTTATAAGTAAAGATATAACATTGACATGTATAAAACATGAAGTATGATATTATAATTTAATCTATAATTAAGGTAGTTTTATATAATTTACAAGGAAGTTCTGTTTGCAGTCCAAAGTTATAAAAAAAAAACAAAAAAAATTAAAAGAGAGAAAGAAACACAAATTACTTTAATTTTAACCCAAGGAGAGAGGCAAGGGAGGGGACGGGTACAGGTCTGACGCGCGGTATTGTAAGCAGTTAAATCCTATATATTAGCAAAAAGGTCGTGCTATATTAGATGGTGGAAGCGACAATTCCTTCAATTGGCACAATAATAGGGTGGTTGCTACCGATGGGGGTGCATTTGAACAATGTCGGCCAGGGTTGTAATGGCTCCGGTGGTCTTAGCCGAAAGCATGCGGTGGCTTTCAGCCAATGGGCTCTGTAATGTGTTCTCTTTTGTTCATTCAGTTTTCCGCTTCCTTTCGGGGTGAAGATGTTGTGAGGATTTAGTGTAGGCCATTGTGTATTTGTACATGATTTCTTGTAGTGGAAGCTTTTGGTGGCTGTAACTCTAAGAAGCTCAAAATTTCGACCTTATTATGTTATTCCAGGTTTAGGGTTTCCGAAACCGCAATAGAAAGGTCAATGCTATATTCCTTCTTATTCGTGTTTCAATTGTCTTAAAGAGTTGATTATAAATAGCAGATACGGGTTAAACTAGTTAATTTGGACAACGTGATAAGAACTTTGCACCAAGTGTAACCGAAACTTGCATAAAATTTGTACCATTCGTTTCATTGGTCGGACCAGTACATTTCGTATATTCTTTCAAAAGAGACAAGGCATGAATTATACAGATTTGGAATGACGAAATTTGATCCATGTGAGAGTGAAAAAACAAAGTTAGCGAAATGAAATGTCAAAGGTGTAGTTGGAGTGGCACTGACATTTTGTGAAGGTGACGGGTGATGATGTTGCGCTGGCTCTTGGAGTTTGCTTATCAGAGAGTCAGTCAAATGTAGCAAGTAAGCCAACCCCATAACGTACCATACCTAGAGTTTGAATTTAAGGATACTGATTCCTGACTCTGTTGCCTAATTTTTTCAACATTATTGGTACTTGAAAGGCATGTGTGTGGAGTTATTCTTTTTATTTTTTTATTTTTAAAGGAATCAGTTAGTGGTTTTGTCACGACAGTTCATTTTTTTATGATCAACAAGACTCATAGAGGTATTTCAACGTCCTTGTCCACCATCGTATGATTCACGCAAAGAATCAAACACAGAACATACCGTATGAAATATGACCTTGAAATTCATTCCCAACTATTGAGTCATCCCATGATGATTCATGTGTGTGGCATTTGTTAATTTGATTTTTAATAATAATAATAATAATACTATTGTTATGATGGTGCAAGTTTTATAGCGATGAGTTCAATGTAATTAACTATGAGATCCATTTTTTTCTATTTTATAATTGGTTAATTTGTATTTTTTTTATTTTTTATTTTCTATTTGAGATGTTTTTCTATGAATCGAACACAATAGTTAGACACTCTCACAAAAGATTGAGCTCAACTACATAAACAGAGTTCGATTCCACTTAAAATTACAATTCACATGAGCCCATGGTGGCTTGATCATTGATAGAAACTTTCATTGTATTGAGTACAACACCACAACTCTGCGTTCCGTACTAATGATGCAATGCACTTGAAAAGAAATCGACACATTAACATTATATTATCAACACGAAACATCAAGCATTTAGATTCTCTATATTATGAAAGTCCTATGGACTGGCTGGCCTAGTTAATATTTTACATCCAGTGATTGACGCCTTGATGGTGCTAACTCAACTGCCATGAGTAATACTTCGTTGATTTATGAACCAAAACATGATTAATTAAATAAATAAATTTTCCATAATTATCCGAGTATATCTATTTATGAAATTGGGTGTGGAAAAGCCCATGGTGGTTGATGCTCATGTTGGGCCTGAAAAGGCAGAGGCCCACACGTGCACGCGTGTTGCTCTTTCGCGCGTCCCCAGACACACCATATCATGGTTTTATAGACACAACTGTACTGGAAAGCGAAAACCGAGCCAACCATGAAACAAAGATTATTCCCTTCATCCCCCACACAAATTATTAATTAAATTATTGATTCAATAACAAACCCTAAAAGCAAAAAAAGATAATCACTTTACTAATCACAATTCGTTAATCTGTAATCCCTGAAAAAGATTTCTATGAGACGAGATATCGGAAGTAAAACAAAGACAACACATGATATACTCGAGACACACTTTTTTTTTTTAGCTTTTTCGTCAAGTATTTCTTATAAAGACGAGATATCGAAAATAATTTATATGAAATCGAATTCAAGGAAATTATAATGTATGTATGAGAATACTATGCGAAAAGAGGTCCTTATATATCATTTTGTTAGGAGGAATAACAAACACATATTTTTTTATCTCTCACACATTGTTATTTAATTTTACCGAGTTAATTATGTTTGATTATTCAATAAAACAGCTAAAACTACTGAAAACTGTGTGGAATACAAATACGAATATAATATTGAGACGTCACGAAGATTATGAACCCGCTCTAGCATTATCATTCTCCACAATCCCCCATCCATTTATAATAGGAATAAATACCCGCTGTTGGTTCTTTATAGACGGCCAGAATCTCCTCCGTCACCAACCAACGGCGGAGATGCGTTTGGCGTTTGCTAGGCCTCGTCTCACACAGTTCGATGTTTCGCTTTCGGCCCCTCGTGATAGCAACAAGTGCCAACGTGGCGGGGTGGACCCCACCGCGTACGGGGGTTAGTAGAGCCTCTCAAAGGCGGGAAGCCCAGTTTTGTCCTCCGCATCCGCATGAGAGAGAAAGAAAAAAGAAGCAAACAGTCACAGAAAGTGTCTCTCTCCTTCCCAAACCCAGAGAGAGAGAGAAATACAGAGTTTGAGAGAGAGAGAGAGAGAGAGAGAGGGATTTTTGTGCACTTGGGTAGTTTGTGAAGAGAAAGGGACTCGCTTTCTGTGAGAAACCGGCAAGTTTTGGAAGTTGCTTTTTGTTTGGTTCGCCATTTTTGGCAAGCATTTTAACTCAGTAGTGGGTTTAAAGAGTGCAAAAACAAAGAGGGGTTTGATTTGAAGAGAAAAAAAAGACGCGACTTGGTGACGAAATGATTCGTTGCGTCCTTTCTCTGAAGATTTTCCCGTAAAAAAATTCGACTTTTATCTGATATGCTCTCTCTCTTCATGCCTGTTGGAGCTCTCTCTCTCATGGGGTTTCTTCTCACTTTCCGCGGAGCTCCGAGCGTTTCTGGGCGGCGTTGCATTTTCTGCGCCTCCAAGCTGCACAGTGGCTGAAGCCCTCAGAAAAACAGAACAAAATTTGAGCTTTTGAGGCCATAGCAGCTGCTGCTCTGAGTATTTTTGGTCGGATTCTGAAGAAAGATTGCAGCTTTGATGTTGGTTTTGGTAATTTGCGTCTGGGTTTTATAGGTTTTAAGCTCTTGGGATTCCGTTGAATTTTTCTGGGATTTTATGTGATTTTTTATTTTATTTTTAATTTCTACTGGAATGGATAGAAGAAGAAGTACCTCAGTAATGAACAGTCCAATCCCAAGGCTTCTCCTTTTGGTATTGGTTTTGTGCTGCCGGCAAGGGGCTGTGCAAGTCCCAAGAAATCGAGCCTCCGTCGCCGGTGAAGCATCCCCACTCGAAGAACGAGCACCAAAGAATTGTTCTGAGCATTGTGTTGGGAGTCCTGACCGGACTAATTTGTGCCATCCTCACTGCACTCTTAGTCCGGTGCTTTGTCCGCTACATCAGCAGAACACCAATTCTCAAAGGCCCCGTCATTTTCTCCCCGAAGATCGACCCCAAAACGCTCCAATTAGCACTGGCTAGCGAAAACCAGTTGCTGGGTTCTAGCCCCATTGGGAAGTACTGCAGGACTGTTTTGGACAATGGGCTGATTATTGCAGTCAAGCAGCTCGGACCCTTTTCGGAGTGTGGCTCGCCGGAGGCTCAGAGCAAGGCGGCGAAGCGGCGGATACAGCAGGAGCTTGAAGTGCTTGCTGGCCTAAGACACAGGCATTTGATGAGCCTGCGGGCTTATGTTCGCGAACACGATAGGTTCTCTTTGGTTTATGATTTTGTACCGAATGGGAGCTTGGAGGATGCTATGAACAGACTTAGAGAAACCGAGTTGCAGCTCAGTTGGGAAGTTCGGCTTCGGATTGCAGTCGGGGTGATTAAGGGACTTCAGTATCTGCATTCGTATGTTCCTCAGATTATGCACTACAATTTGAAGCCAACAAATGTTATGTTGGATTCGGAGTTTGAGCCGAGGTTGGGAGATTATGGGTTGGCGAAGCTTGCGCCTTATTTGGATGTAGCAACATCTGAATACAGCGCTCCAGAGTGTTTCCAGAATGGCAGGTATACATACCAAACTTTGGTAATATCCGAAATTCGTAATGTTTCCTTTTACACAATAACTATGCAGTTCTACTGAGAAAGCTGTATTGATTATCTGAGGAAACTATTGTTGTTTTTTGTTGTTGATATTTTTGTATAGCCCTCATTAATTTCCTTGCTTTCAGAATACTTATCAATAGTTCGGTATTCCACATGCCTAAGTGTTTTTAGATTAAGGGCAGGATTGGCATAGGTTTGGTTCCTCTTGATTAATGTTAGACATTTAGGTGCTCTCTTTTAAATGGCTTGTTCTCCTGCACAAGGCCATGGTTACTCAGGCCTTGCCACCAATACCGCCGGGGGGTGGGTGGGTTGTGAATTGGATTGCAATCCCACTCCCTCTTTTTTATGCAATGCTCCCGCCCAATACTCTTCTACTCAATGACTTGGGATTCAGATCATCTGTCTTTTGACGTAGCAGAAAATTACCTCTTGATGGTTTATTGATGTTTTACAGTGAAATGCTTGTTAGTTCAGATTCAAGGCCTTGTAGAACTTCAGAAGATTGTTTGTTACTTTGTTTATTGATGTTTGCCTTAGATTTTGTGCAATGGGGTTCATTAGTAGCAGTTTTGTTAGTAACTTACTAGCGTTGTAGGCTAATCGAAAACAGAAATTCTGCGTAGAAACAAAACTTTAGCTATTGATAGGTGAATGGAAAGAACAATTAAAACATGAGATCATTTCTATGCTCTTGTTGAAAACAGATTGCTCTTTTACTAAAGGCAACATATTCAATTTCGACAGGTACACGGATAAGAGCGATATTTTCAGCTTTGGGATGATATTGGGCGTTTTATTAACCAGAAAAGACCCAACCGATCCCTTCTTTGGGGAAGCAGCTCGTGGCGGAAGTTTAGGGCGGTGGCTGCGGCACTTGCAGCAAGCAGGCGAGGCACGGGAAGCATTAGATAAGAGTATAATAGGTGAAGAAGTGGAAGAAGATGAGATGTTGATGGCAGTGCGAATCGCCGTTGTATGCCTATCAGATTTGCCAGCAGAGAGGCCCTCAAGCGATGAACTTGTTCACATGCTAACCCAACTGCACAGTTTTTGAATCAGATGTAAGTATTTTACTGAAGCTGCTATTTCTGTAGATTATTGGGAACTTTTAGACTTCAGAAATATTTGCTTCTGCAATCTGCACATTTCTCTTAGAATTGTATACTTTTACTGTTTTAATCGGTGGATATTCACTGTGGCGAAGAAGCTGGAAGTCAAGGAAATTTCTGACTTTGGAGTAAAGGTGAGCAGATTAACAATGTGGGGGCACATCTCAATTATTTTCGTTTTTCACCACCGAATGATGGTAGGGCTTTACTGGCTGTCTTTTCTGGACAAAACTTTTCCAAAAATCACGGGTCCTTTCAAACCTGAAGCAACTAGATAACTCTCATGTCCTTGTTCTGTAATGCTTGAATGCTTCAGTGTTCATGTATAACTCTTAATTGGGTTTCGATCCGAGTTCTGTGGAGAAAAAACTTATACGAAACAGGATGACTCTCTCTCTCTCTCTCTCATCAACAAATTCTAAGGTAACTCATCACGTGATGAGAGAGGTAGAGAGTGGGAATAATCCCGTGATAGCTAAGTTTGGATCAATTCTCTGAGTATTACAGTCTTTTGGTAACGATGCTTGTGACGTGATGAGAGCGGTAGAGAATATGGGGAAGTGTAAGGTGTAAGTGACGAGAATAGAAGAGATGAAGTCCGTCCCTTAGCCTAGTCTATATCTACAGCCGACGCAACTCCGTGCGACGCCTATTTCCCATTTTTTTATGGGAGTACCATAGTCTTTTGCTAATCCTGCTTATGACATTAACAATTCTCCCATCTTTTTATTTATTTTTTCCCCTTCTTGCTTGTAATCCGGATAGTTGTGTTGTGGAAGATGTAAACCCCAGCATTAATTTAGTTTGTCTTGCCCAAAGTGTGTCACAAAAATGCATCCACATGTGATGTACAAAGCCTAGGAAGCAGGAAAAGAACGTAAAAAGCATGTGGTGGGGGTACTGAAACCTGGCAGCTCATGCATTTGGGGCCAAAATTAGCATGCTTGCAACAATGAAAAAATGAAAAGCAAAGTGAATGCCAACCAAGCCTATGATTCCATTGCCATAATCCCATGTATTTGGTGGTGCACTTGACCTCATATTACTTTGAAACCTTATACAATGTATTTGAAATAACCATACAGGATATATACAGGAACTTTCCTGAAGAAATCTGATGGGAAATCCTGGTCCCCCCCCCCCCCCCCCCCACCCCACACACCCCAAAAAAAAAAAAAAAAAAAAATCTTTGCTCAAATGCTGCTTGGTGTGCAAGTCACAGTGCTCTCTGATCAAAAGCTCTGCCTTCATTCGGATACATCTCAGCCGCACATCATTAATCCAATCCAGCCGCAGAAAACCAAAACGATGGTTTTGATCAGCTCCTTATTGATACTAGAGCAGCGACGTTAGTTTTACACGTTGTAATATGGGGATGACCCTAACCCTAACCCTTCAGTTGGGTAAACCAGGATTACGAAACCACCAATTTTGGAGAGTAATACTATTCATATCATGTTTTTATACCATATTTTCATACCACCTTAGGTGTGATGTGGACAGGACAGCCATATTATTTGAATTAATTAGATTTTTAAATTTAGTTTATTATTTAATAAACTAATAATTAAGAAAAACTAATTAATTAAATGATGATTGTGGTATACAAGGAGCCTTTCTTATTCCTTTCCTTGGGTTTTGCAAATTTTTCAAATGATATGGTTGTCTACATTAGATGCTACCTAAGGTGATATAGAAATGTGGTATAAAAACGAATAGCATTACTCCAATTTTGGGCATCGTAAGTTTGCCTATGGTTGGAACTTGTAATGGGCTTACATGCCTTGCTACTAACGGGAAAAGGATTCTTGCCAGATACTTTTCCTAGGAATTCCGTGATCGTGATTGTTTATCATATATCGTGCGATCAGTTTTCGTTAGATACTATTTATATTTAATTTTAAAATTTAAATTTTGAAATGATTTCTGATCACATAATGTATAATGAACGATCACGATCACAGAATTTCTAGGATTCCTAGGAAAAGAATCCGACGATGATCATTTTCCCTACTAACGGGCCAGCAAAAACCCATCCTTCGCCGGATCCTTTTCCCTGCTAACGGGCCAGCAAAAACCCATCCTTCGGCTACGGTTGTCGAACCAATGGCTATAATTTCTTGAGATGTGTGAACAATTCTGTTCGGCTAACCCCATCTGAGGATGAGGCTTACTCTTTGGGCGAGGGCTTCTGAAAAAGTATTAGTTCTGATGGTCTTCCTGATTACAGACTCTATCCTTCCAAAAGTGGCTTTCGATCAGCCTGCTGACATAGAAAGACGAACCATAGCAGTGGTGATTTTGAAGACCAATAAAGCTAAAGATATTCAAGCAGTTGATGACTTTTGCATCCCGTCAATAAATCTTTTGCGTTTGTAGAGAGCTGAATCTTACTCGATGAGCGCCCAATCCAAAGTACATTATGTTTTCTGGACAAAACTGTTTTCAAAATCACGGGTCATTTTCGAACCTCAAGTACTTGGACAATTCTCTTCATGTTTGCTTCGGTTAGCATTTTGATGTCTAGAGCATAATGGAGAAAATATTTGCATGTAAAAAAGGAGGACAAGGAGAGAAGGGGGGGAGGGGGGGGGGGTCGGTCTCTCTCTCATATTAACAAAGGATAAGGTAATTACTTGTGAGTTGTCACGTGATGAGAGTGATACAGAAAGTGAGGATGATTCCAGTGTGGCGGTTGAGTTTTGATCGATTCTATGAGTAACTCAATCCTTTGATGCGATCAAACTGCCTGATAGATGATTTTCTCAAATCAAGGACATAAGGATGTAATTTGGGAGCTTTTTGGGCCTTGGCTTCCATATGTCATTTTCATGAACAATATCCTTGGGCGTTGCCTTAATTACGTACCTATATATTGCCATGTTTCTCTCTCATTCACCACAATCACCAGAGCAGTTTCGGCGCTGCCATATTTTGGAAGCGTATCGGAAACATGGATTCCAGAAAAACTCACAAACCACCCAATAATTGTAAGATGGAAAAGAAATATGGGGACTTGGGAAACCGAAGGAAAAAAGCAACGTCAGTCGAGTACTACTACAACAACTACTTTCCTGTAGAGATCTTATTCGAAATCTTCCTGAGGTTGCCCTTAAAATGTTTAATCAAATGCTGCAGGGTCTGCAAATCATGGTGCTCTCTGATCAAAAGCTCTGCCTTCATTGCCATCCATCTCAGCCGCTCATCACTGATCCCATCCAACCACAAAACCCAAAACGATGGTTTTGATCAGCTCCTTCTCATAAACCAGGGCAATAACTTCTACTCGTTGTATTATGGGGATAATCCTAACCCTAACCCTAACCCTAACCCAAAACCTGCATTTCAGTGCACTTGCAGTGGGCTTAATGTTCCACTAGTTGGGAAATTCGGAGTTCCTGCGCGAATGGTCGGAACTTGTAATGGGCTTACGTGCCCTTCTTGGTACCCCCGTGGCCGCACAATAATTTGGAACCCTTCAGTTAGAAAGTATGTGGTTTTGCCTTGGCCTTGGATTACTAGTACGCTGCGACCTTGCCCAAGGGGAAGGAGACCGCGACGAAAGTGTCCAAAGAAAGTCATTACTTTGGCTATGATACTCGGAATTATGGCCGTAAGGTATTGAGAACTGTGAATAACTTTTGTATTTGCGGTTGAGGTTTACTCTTTGCCCGGGGCTCTTGGAAAAGCCTTAATTAGTGCTGCTGTTCTTCCTGGTTATGGGAAGCTTGGTGGGGTTTCTTCCAAACGTGTTTTTGTGAATGGTACTCTGCATTGGGTTCAACTCCGTGGCAAAGAAGAGCAAGAACATGGCCAACAACATATCAATATCATGTCTTTTGATTTGAGCACTGAATTATTTGGCGAGATTATGATGCCGGAAGCTTTCAGAAAAAGAGGTTCGAACTGTGTCTTTCTGAAATACGGAGAGTCGCTTGCCTTGATTGAGATTGAGATTGATTATACAACCTACGTGAGAATATGTAGGCTTCAGGTGTAGGTCATGAAAAATTATGGTGTGGCGGAATCGTGGACTGAATTCAATCTTAGTGTAAGACTGCAAAAGCATTATAAAACTCTTGATTTTGAAAGGCAGGATTGGATGCTTCTTGGTTTTAAAAGTCAGGATGAACTGGTGTTTGTTGATTCTATTAACCTGCGAACCATCGTAGCGGTGAATTTGAAGGCCAACAAAGCTAAAGACATTGGAATGTTTGGGAGCAGCATCCAGTTAAGGAGCCTTCCTTTTGTAGAGAGCCTTGTCTTACTTGACCACCCTAATGCAGTTTCCTACTAATTAAGTAGCAAGCAAGAGACAACAGCAAGAGGTGTGATTTACAGATTTTTATTATTTCCTTCGTCAAGACTTAATAGAACCAATCATTAGTTACTTGTTAGATTTCTGGAGCTTATACTCTGAAGTCGTTTAAATTAAATCCTCCATTATGCGCCCGGTATTATTTCAATGCTTCAAAAAATGGGTATGGCGAAGAATATTTCTTTTTTTTTGCTTTGATTTGAGCACTGAATTATATATTTGGTGAAATGGATGCCGGAAGCTTTGAGAAGAAAATGTTTGAACTGTGTCTTGCTTTGATTGAGATTGAAACAATAAAAATTCCTATGATGGGTCGTGAAAGAGTATGGTGTGGCAGAATCGTGGCCTAAATGCGATAATAGCGTGCTCTTCGTCTGGGTTGTCTTCTTGATATCAAATGCCGTGATGAATGAGTGTTCACAATGCCTTGTTCGCTTCGCGGCCAACCTTCCTAACAGTGGATTTCCAACCAAACAAACTTGAAAAGTTTCAACGGTTTTACTCGGCAGTGAATCTGCAGAGAGTGTTATCTTACATGATCATCCTAATGTTGTTTCCTACTAGCTAATTACTAGTTAAGGACGTTGTCGAGCAATCTATTCATACTGTTACCTACTTACGGACTTTGTCGAACAATCGATTCATATTCATGTTTTCCTTCCCAAGAGTGTGCAAGTCTCCTTAGCATTTCTCTTTTTAGAATCGCCACCCTTTGGCTGTTTGATTAATGGTTGTCTCCGTTTGTTCAATCTTTTCGATCATTTGCAGTTTCAACATGGTAGGTAGCCAAACTGAGTCATCCTTTTGACCTAGGATGCAGCTGGTTTGAGCACCCTCCCCTTTTCTCCAG